AAAACAAATTTATTTATGAAAGAAAAAGCTTCTGTAACTTGTTCTAGTTTACACTAAGTTTTGACTATCTTAGGGGCTGCTCACTCAAATAATCTGACCTTTTATTTATACATGTGTATGCACAGGTACTAAGATTTATTAACAACAACATATATAAAGTATGTGATTATGTACAACATTTTTAATTTAATATTACAATTGGGGGTATAATTACACTTTAATATTACAACTACTTACTTACCTGGTAAAGTGAGCAACCAAAAATGTTAAACAGAGACAGAAATTCAAGAAAAGAAAAAAACATATATATATACAAGTTACAATGAACACAAATGGAGATTTGTAATAAAAACAAAACAAATTCCAAAATATCAGTTTAGCTATTTTTAATAACTGACCTTGACCTAAGATTTCTTTAAATCCCTATTGCACATCTATACTTCAGTGTATCACCATGTCAAATTTCATAAAATCATTCTTTTGAAATCTGATATAATGTCCAGAAATGAAAGTGTGGGCGGACAGATGATTACTGTAGGGCACCTGCATCTCCTATATGAGGCCATAATTATGCGTGGATTTTTCTCAAATTAAAATGTTGCCCCTGTCTTTCTATATAATGTACAAGAATACTTATTTTCATCAAAATACAACAATATTCAAGCAAGTTACCGTGCGAAAACTTCTATTTGGCAATTGACCAATCAGAGCACATTATGCTAATAAATTAATTAACTATAATAGGTACATGCATACCAAAGTTCATCATAACTAAACGATATTAAACCAGACTCCTATTGGGCCATGGAAACTCTTACTAAATTTGGTTCAGATATCTTCTTCTGTATTGAATGAAAAGGTAATAATTAAGATTTAAATCTATTAACCTTTAATTGGTTAAAATCCCTCCTAACTACAGAAACAGAAGGATTGTTCGAAGATTAATCTCAATACACCATCTTGGGCCTTGCCTCTTTGTCCCCAGCAATAACATTTATTTCATATCCTCTCAATGTAAGATAGTTAAGTACCAAGTATCATTTAAATATGTGCAGTCATTTGGGAGAAGTGCTAACAAGGTATAACATTAAGAGGTCAAAACTCTATAATCAAGGGAAGTAACTTTATTCTTTATAGTCTACTCATGTCCCTTAGTTTTAGTACTATGTGTCCAAAGTATCATTCAAATTGGTGCAGTACTTTGGGAAGTATCGCTTTTTCCTTTAAACTGTTGTAGTGTGACCAATGTTGTGTCTACAGACAGATTGACAGTCATCCCGATTCCAATATAACTTTGTTAAACTTCCTTTCATTGCAAAGGAAAGTAAAACCAGTTGTTTTATTTTAGTGTCAAGCTACACTTTTCAAACTTGTGTCATCTTGACAATAGACAGACTTCCCAGAAAAGAAGATAGATGAAGTCTCAAGAAGATTTAGTCATGTCCCAACTAGTTTTATCCATTCTTTCACAAAGTATTCAAGTCCAGACACAAACAATCATCCAGCACAAGATTTACAGAGCAGTACAGCACACATGGCGGTCCATTGAGCCCGACCGCACAGGCCTGACGTCCCAATCATGATGCTGTAAGGCCATTATCGTGTCAGATTCATGTCTGTATTTGGAATTAAATGCATTGTCAAAGAAGTGACAGTTCGAAGTTAAGAAATGACTAAACCAACTGAGTTCCAAATATTTCCGTTCCTAAGTCATCCATCTAGAGTTAGACATAACAATAACAATCACCTTTTTTTCCATCAACAACCTGATCTTGTGAAATTGTTCTTTTTAAGCATTGCTTTTGCTTATACAGTCAAAAATACATACAGTAAAACCTGTCTAAACCGGATGTCATCGAGACCAAACTACTTGTCCGGTTTAACCAGGGTCGGCATGTCATTTTTTTGAAAATATAAAAATGTAGTGTTTTGCATATTATCTGTATACAAGTGTGTACGGGTTGTTTTTACATGGATTAATATGCCAACTTTTGTGAAACAACGCCGGTTTTCGGAATGGACAGGGTTCGGTTTATTCAGGGTTTAATTACTATGATTATATAGGGAATATGCCGGGACCACAAATCACAGCCAGTCTAGACAAGGAACCGGATTAGACAGGGGCCAGTTTAGACAGGTTATACTGTATTATGATGTACATTTTTAACAAATATAACAGCACTTTGGTTAATTGTTTTTAAAATTGAATGAACTCAGTCTCATCTGATGTACTGCTATGTAATAGGTAGCAAAACATCATACTGCTCCCTTTCAACAATGGGAAATTGATTAAAGAAATACATAAGTGACCTTGCAATTTGACCTCTGACGCATAACAAACTTAGCACTGTGACCTTAAAACATAAACCTTTTTTAATTTGCAGTCAGTCTTCATAACTCAAACTTTTGTAAATTTGCTGATAAACAGATGTGTCAACTGTGCATCAAGTGACCCTGACCTTTGACTTTTCAAATTCTCTCTGATGTCTTAAGGAAACTTTTAAAGCAGCAATTACGTTCAAGTTCTGAGGAGTTATTTATGAGATTATTAACAGGGTCAAAGCATTTTGTTCTTGGTAATTAACCCATTCCTATCTAGAGTGTGTAGTAATTACACTTTTTGAGGAAAAAAGAAATAACTGAAAGAAGGATAAAATAAAAAAGTGAAAAGTTTTCTAAACAAAATTAGTATATTTCAGGTTACATGACTGAAAAAATAGGGTAAGTCAGGTTTTCTTTTTCTTTTCTTTTTGAGGGGGCTAATTAAAGAAATTACAAAAATCACCAAACATATTTTAATGTCTTTTAAATAATAATATGGGGTTTACATTTGGTTTTGATACCAGCCTGTGAGGTAGAAAGGGTTTATATATATATAGTCTGGATGTTTATGCGAGATAAAATTGTTTGTGTCGAAGGTAAAAACTAGGGTAAGTCAGGGTACCTGAAACATACATTTTTTTTTGTCCTTATATATTTCCTTCCTTTTCTTATATATTTTCCAATTTACCAATAAAGTTGGGTTCTAGCTGCTAAATATAAACAAGACTTCAACGGGATTGGATGTGTCGCCTGCTCAGCGCTTTTAAGTAAGAAAAGTGTTTTGGCTGGAGTTATCGCGTAAACAGATACAAACGCGGAAAGTTGAAAATCGACAGAAAGACCCATAATATATGTTGAACATTATTGCTTCTAGCATAACCGTACAAAATTTGAAAAGAATTGATTAAAAAATTAAAAAAAGTTCTTGCATTTACTTCACAATGCCCTTATTTGGCAATAAAAGGGGCATGACTCCAACCAAAATGCACGTTAACTTCTGAAATGCGAACTTGTCCGAGCTATGTTGGTAAGAAATATGTGTAATAAGTTTAAGTTCAATCAACCCAAGAGAATTCACGGAAACCTTGTTTCGGATGCCGCAACCGTCGCCGCCGACAAAGAAATACCTCTATGTCGCCGTTGACGGCGACACAAAAATGCCCCCTGTCAATCAATTATATATTTCCTGTATACTCGTATTGCACGTATTTAGACCTATTTGTGAGTACATAATTTTGTAATGAGATGAAAATTATCGCTTTCATACTTAAGGTCATAGGAGTGTATTGATAAACGGAAGTAGGAAGTACATCCCTAGTTGAAAATCCAATGTAGGGAGACAGTATCACAATTTCCGCATATTCTAATGTTTAATATAAAACTGATGAATATTGTATGTTTATTACTGACAGAACAGTGTTTTCTCTCAGTATTAAAGTATTTCAAAGCAATGCAGGCATTAATTCAGGGGGTTTTATCAATGAGCCACGTGTATCCATTTTTCTGTAAATCAGGAAACCGGCTACCTATTACGCATTGATATCTATAATTATAAATTTGCGATCTTTGCGAAGGGCAAAAAAGGAAAAAATTAAACTGTAGCAAATATTTCCAGGTATGCAGTAATTATATCTCTAATAACAACAGTTTCCTTGTTTCACAAAAGTGTTTTTGGCTGGTGGTGGGGATGGGTTGGGGATAAACAATGCCTTGTAGAAACTATTTAGACCAGCACAATGTTCAGTTATTGAAAAAGCAAGATGAAAGATACTGCAGATAGACAGATAACTGAACGGATGTATGAAAATATGCACAAAGTAGGAAATTATGGAAACAAAAAAAGCACTATAAGCCGGTGCACGATACACCAAGGTAGACCTCATTCAAGCTTTCTTCAGTATTGACTTGGTTACCATGAATTAAGCATTCATACATCTATTAAGGTATTCAAGGCAATCAAGAAGAGGAAACTATCAAATGTTGACGTACAAAACCATATTGAAATGAGACCATTTTTTGGCTTTCTGTTGTTAATGACGTTGACCTTTGAGCTTGTGTAAACTGGATAATCAAAGAAGATGGACAATCAGCAAATAGGTGAACAGCAGAGATACCAGCAGATAAAACTTCTAACAGAAAAATGTGCAAAGATCAACAATCAAGTGAAACTGAACAAAAGGCATCCAAACATGTAACAAGGTACTAAAGATAAATTGTGGACAAAGTTCCATACAGATAATAAAGGGCAATAACAACACCGGTGAAATTAACACACCTCCGACCCAATTTTCCCAAGATGCGCTCTCAAGATGCACAAATATTAAGTTTGGTTAACAAAAGTGAAAAAGATAAATGTTAACAATGAAAATGATCTCCTAAGAATTCCTCTAAATCTGTAATCATGCTAAAGCGCCGTGTCAATTCTCTGCTTACACCAATCGTCTTATCACTTGCTTAAATCATCTGACATGGCAAAACAGTAGTCTATTTATTGATTTTTTTCATCAATATATCAGGAACCAACATTTTTTTTAAATGGGCAGTAGCACACAATCTGAGTTTGAGCATGAAAATAGATTCATAAATACAGGCCCTGAAAGCAAAATTAATCCTGTTAAAAAATTGTACGTCTTCTAAAATCAGGTTGATTCAATTTGATATTGCTTACCTTGCCTAACGGAATTTCCCCACTCTACGGCGACATTAGACCTGCCACTATGTCACACCCTTGGGCCCTTAGCATGGCCCTTTTGACTGCCTCCACACTGTAGCTAAAACAAGAAATAAACTGAATTAAAAATTAAAATCATAAAATGTCTTTAAAGCTCTATTGAAACAAAAAGACTACTTGTCAGAACGGTAACACAAGTGTCAAAATTAGGTTGGATGAAAATTGGTATGTAAAATCATCAACAGACTGTAATTGAAGCAAAAACAGAAAAATATAAATAACGTAACAGCACCAAATTAGCTCCCACTGTCATTTTCACCTTTTTTAACATTGTTATTTACCTCAGTGCGAAGAAAGTCAAACCAGAACGAAGCATGGCAGTGTCTCATTGCCACCTCCAAGCACGTCCCCCGTGTCCTTCATGAAAGAAAATTAAGATAAACATGAGATTTTCCTTTTAAGATACCATAGATTGCACACAGCTAAATGCAAAAACATTAATGAGGACACTTTAACGGCTGCTGGACCAGGAAATGTAAGCCACATTTATGATCAGTATCAAATCATGATCTTAAGTAGCCAAGATAAAAACTATGGTCCAAAATTGGGGTCTAGTACTTGAGTTGACTGAATTCAGTTATCATTTGAAGTTGGTGCACCTTTACCCTAACAGTAATATAAATATGGTACAGCTAAAAAAATTGCATTACAGCATCACACTCATCAACATAAATATATAGGTGTATCGCTGTCCTTTGCATATAAAACAAACTAATTATCTGAATTATTATTCACAGTTCACAGCCCCATGGGACCAATTAATACATAGACTCATCTTGGCATTTTTATTTAACTGCCATAAATATGCATGGGAAGAGGGTTTATTGCCAGATAAAAATGGTATCTCCTGCATACCCCTCAGGGATGTTAATTACCATTTTCGTTGACAAGAATGAAATTGAACCGTGTCTATTTTAATTCATTCATTATCTTTATTTCTCCCTGCCAATCTTTAAAAACAATTTTTAAAGGCGTAAAAGATTATTTTTTCAGATAGCAATAGCACTTTCTTTATAAATTATCATCTTGTATTCAGAATGATTACTGCTCAAGTGTTGATGGACAGACAGATGGACAATGTGATTAATATAGGGCATGCCATAATTAATCAACATTTATCAGTTTGAAATAACACAAGGAATAGTAACCATTTAAGCAAAAGACAATCACAATTGATCACACAAGACAGATTACCTAATAATGTGCAAGTATTGTAACAGTATCACTAGAGTTATCTCCCTTATACCATCATGTTGATGTATGTGTAGTATGCATACATAAACATGAGGGTGTAAGGGAGGTAACTTTAGTGACACTGTTTAAGTATCTTGCATCGTAAATTTATTTTATTTGTATGCAAAACAAACATTTCTAAGAATAAGTCATGAGCGCAATGAAGCACAAAATGTGTAAGGAAACCCTTGATTTGCATGGATGCTTGAATAGTACCACAGATTGATTAATTAACACATGCATGTACAGACATGTGAATGAAATAAATCAACTAATGGCAAATTTGCTCATAAACTGCGGTACACATGTTGAGATTGAAGTTTCATAAAATGCATGTTCACAGAAACTAATATGGTATAAAATGCAAATTAACAGAAATAATTGTGGTTAGAAACTACAACACGTTGACCAAGGAGAACTAATCAAAATTTTGTAACGAATCCCTCTGCTCCAAGGATCTCGCTTTAAACAATCGATTCTAAAACCAGATAAGTTGAAATCTCAAAAGTACATCTAATAATATAAAAAAAAGTCCGCCATCAGGGGCGTCTAACAGAAGTTACACGCCTATAGGCCTAATATTAATAGATTTAAGATCATATATTACAAATATATATACATCTCTGGTTAATTGAAAGCTAGGCGTCATTTTGATATGCGCGATAATTGATCACATAAAATAGTGATAATTCGCCAACAGATGCATAAAAGGGTAATCTATATCAAAACTCATTGAATCAGAGGGTACATATCAATTTAACATTGTATTCAACGCCTATTTTGTTAAATTATGAAGAAAATATATTAGGCTTACCCAAATGTCAGACTATGAGGGTTAACAGCGCGGGAAGAAGTGACGCGAACTTCGAGCTCGTTCTACGTGCATGTGACCAAGTGCATTTTCATTGGTCGAGAAGTTAGCATGAACACAGTTTTCGTACGGCGCCGGGAGCGACGAGGGGTCAGTGAGGGTGGAGGTATGGACAGGTACCTCTGCCGAGGGAATTTTTAAATATGAAACATTATTACTTTAGTGAAGAAACATCGAAAATAGCGTCTTTTCTACCGGAAATATCAACCGTTTAAGTATATTGGTGTTTTTTCTTGCTGTTCCCCCCACCTTTCATGCAACTTTAAAGATTGTTGTCCCTATGCGAACCCCGGGGAAGGTTTGGTGCTGTCCATTGCAAAGTTGAACTTTTCGTGGCACTAATCACAAAACCATTCTTTCCTTACTTTTAACAAAATATTTGCAGGGCATGCCACTAGTAAATATATTGCACTAAAACAGATATAAACCAGGGGTAGTAAAACACTGTATAGATCGGATACTAAAGAAATTAATTTATTTAAATTTTATGTATATTACACATACATATTTAACATATAGATATGTTCATATCTAGCATTCTTACCCAATGGGGAAGAAACAGTATAAAACGCCCAGCGTAGCGATGCGGGTTTTTTTCATTTTGAAACAAAAAACGTTTGGACTCTTGTCCCCTTACAATAATTCATATTACACAATATGCTTAGAAACAAAATGTGTGTCGAGGTGTGGAGGGACGCACAAGTGTCACGAAATAAAAACTCTGTGTTCGAATTTTGTGTGTTTGAGAAATATCTTTAAACATCATGCTTAAGGTCCTACCAAGATCATACAGGACATGTTGTATTCAGATGTTACTTTACGATTACTACTAGAGATAAGTTATGGATGGATAAAGCCAATATACACGACCTGACATTTAAGTTAATCAATAGGTACGTACCATATCAATCTAGCTATATATGTAGCATCCTTTAGTGGTTTATTATTACTTATAAAAGCTGGTTTTATATCAATATTTCTAACAATATTTACCGTCCAGCTATTTCTATTTCATTACTGTCATTGATTAAAATAATGTGATAATGGAATTCTAATATTATTATAAAATCTATGTCGATATAGTTGGATTAATTACCGTACCAGTATACATGTATATACATGTATATACATGTATGTGATTTTTTTTTGCAAGTTGCATGATTTTTTCCTGGACAGACACTCATAAGATTGAATTATAAAGTTTGTTAGGAATGGGCGGGAGATTTCAAATTTTAAACTTTAAGAACACTTTGAGTGATTCTCTCCCTCTTACAGTCGGTGTCCCTCAAGGGTCAATGTAGGGGCCACTTTTGTTCATTTTATGTGTAAGTGACCTGCCCCTGATTACAAATCAAAGTTCTTTGTATATGTACGCTGATGACTCCGCAGCGCAATCACAAGGGAAATCACTCGACATTGTAAATACCAACCTCGAAGCTGATGCTAAATTAGTGTCAAAATGGTGCGATGATAACAAAATGTGTGTAAACACAGAAAAAACAAAAGTCAGGCTTGTTACTACTTCACCGAAAAAAATGTGAATTAACAGAAGAATTGTCCGTTGTTATCAACAATATAAACATTGAAAATGTAAAATGTGAAAAAAATTTGGGAGTGTTCAATAGATGATTGTCTCTCTTGGAACATTCAATTTACAAATGTCTGTAAAAAGATATCATGTCAAATATTTCAGATGAAAAAGTTGAGACCCTTCTTGAGCCAGTCATCTTGTATGACTCTTTTTTAACTGCTTTGTTAACACACATCTGGATTATTGCTCAACTGTTTGGGGTAACAGTTAAATAAATAATATTTTAAAATTAGAACGCCTGCAAAAGAGAGCAGCCAGAATTATTTTAAAATGTGATTTTTCCACACCTTCCTGTGATATGTTCAAAAAAAAAATGGTTACCTTTTCACAAAAGAATTTTATACAATCAAGTAGTTTTTATGTACAAGATACTTTTAAATAATTTAGCTCCACAAAATTTGAATGATTTTACGTACATGTCAGATGTTCAGGGAAGAACTACAAGATCACCATCTACCGATGTGTTTTACTTGCCATGTCATAAGACAAGCATTTTTAGAAAATCTTTTAGATATCAGGGACCCCTTAAATGGAATCTTTTACCAAGTCATATTAGCAATTGTACTTCATTTTTAGAATTTAAGATATCTGCAAAGCAATTTTACTTGAAATGATTTATGAATTCCTCCCTTCTTAAAGCTGTAAATATTGTACATTTTATCATACATTGTATCTTGACCATGTGTAAGATGAGCTTCATGCTCAATATGTTATCAAGAATAAATAAAGCCTTTATTTTTATAATTATTAGAATGGACCTGATACAATCGGTGTAGTTCCCAGTAAAAGGATAGAAGTATTCTATCGCCCTTTACAAACTCGATTTTAAACACCTTTTCATTCATTCTTTATCACCTTACACCTTGCAGTTTGTCAGTACAGTGCATATATACAGTGCAAATTATACAGTACAGATATCTATATACAAACAAAGAATACAACACTCCGACCACGAATACATGTTAGAATTAAAGCGATAATGTAGAGTGATTCCTTTTAGCTTAAACAGTATTGAATCTCCTTTTTTGACTTTGACTTCAGAAATTTTGCTAAATTAGACAGTTCTTTTTTATTCCTTGTTGTCATCAAATCTAACGCTTTTACCGTACTGGGTTTTTTATAATGATATTTTTTTATGAAACGGTTTCTTAAATCATTATAATGACCACATGTAACAATAAAATGATATTCGTCTTCGATATCGCATTCAAATTCTATCTTTTTTTCTAAACCATGAAATCTACCAGTTTCAATATTCAACGTATGCGATGACAACCGAATTTTTGCAATTTGTTTTATATTTTGTAAACCAATAGGTTTAATTAAATACTTGTTTAAGACAAAAAATACCGAAGATCCATTCATAAAGAGAACACTTAGCAGATGAAGTAATTAAATGCAAACACTCCGGTTGATAAATGTCATGCATTCTACATTTAATAACATTTAGAATTTGACCTTCATTACTCTCTGTTTGCCATAGATATCCCAAACCTAACCTATATAATTCATTTCGTATGTTATTTGTCCAGTCGCTGCCCCTTTCAATCATCTCATCGTAGCAAGCCTATTTAACATGCAATTGTCCGAAATTTTAAGTTAGCCAATATTTGAAAATTCTAATTTTTCTAATTATATGTAAAGGTAGTCTCCCTAATTCTTGGTAAATCATAACATTATGAGTGCTTTTCTTAATCCCCAAAATTCGTTTACAAAAATTCAAATGTACTTTCCCAATATCTGGTGCTTTGAGAATTCCCCAAACTCCAGCTCCATAGTTAAGGATACCGCACGCAAAAGTATCAACAAGAGATCCCAGAGGGATCTTGGCGCCCACCTTTGTACCATCTTCATTAGTTCTTTGTCAGTTCGATCTTTTCTCTTCTTTCCTCTAATCTGTTTGATCGAGTCAAGTTAACAGTAAATGCACCTTGAGGTAACTTTTGATCTAAACTTAATACTGATGTGTTTGAAAGCTTACCTTCTAAGTGAGTTTGTCATTTCACATATTTACTAGTACAGTACTTCATGAAATAGAATCGATCATTGCAATATGAGAAAGATCTGTTTAGTTCTTCTTTTAATCCATTTTGTTTTTATGATCAGTCTCAAAATATAACATGCACAACGAGGGATCAAGGGGAACCTACATTTAAAATTTGAGAAAGATCCCTCCCGTACTTCCCGAGAAATAGCGATAACAAACTTTCACTATCAAAATCCAAGATGTCTGCCTGTCGGCCATGTTGTTTATCCGATTAGTCTCAAGAGTTGCCCTGCACAGCTTATGACCAAGGGGAACCTACATATAAAATATGAGAAAGATCCCTCTGATACTTCCCGAGAAATAGCGATAACAAACTTTCACTATCAAAATCCAAGATGGCTGCCTGTCGGCCATGTTGTTTATCCGATCAGTCTCAAAAGTTGCTCTGCACAGCTATGGACTAAGGGGAACCTACATATAAAATTTAAGAAAGATCCCTCTAGTTCTTCCGGAGAAATAGCGGTAACAAACCTACACTATCACAATCTAAGATTGCTGCCTGTCGGCCATGTTGTTTATCCGATTAGACTCAAGAGTTGCCCTGCACAGCGTAGGACCAAGGGGAACCTACATATAAATTATGAGAAAGATTCCTCAGATACTTCCCGAGAAATAGCGATAACAAACTTTCACTATCAAAATCCAAGATGGCTGCCTGTCGGCCATGTCTTTAATCAGATCAGTCTCAAAAGTTGCCCTGCACAGCTAAGGACCAAAGGGAACCTACATATGAAATTTGAGAAAGATCCCTCTGGTGCTTCTTGAGGAATAGCGATAACAAACTTTCAATATCAAAATCCAAGATGGCTGCCTGTCAGCCATGTTGTTTATCTGATCAGTCTCAAAAGTTGCCCTGCACAGCTATGGTCTAAGGGGAACCTACATATAAAATTTGAGAAAGATCCCCACTGGTACTTCTTGAGAAATACCGGTAACAAGAATTGTTTAAGGACGGACGACAGACCACAGACAACAGACGCAGGGTGATTGGAATAGCCCACCATCAGATGATGGTGGGCTAAAAACGCTAAGTTGGGTTTCAATATCAAAATATTTCTTTTTGCAAATATTGGATACAGCATATAGCACATTCCTACTTTGTTCTGCTATTTTCTCTTGTGTAATGCTGAATTTACCATTGGATTTCAGTAGAATCCAAAGGTAGCTAAAACTATCATCATTTTCTAAAACTTTACCATCGTAAAACCATTTTCTACCTCCTTCAACTTACCATTTCTAAAAACCACGACCTAAGTGGGTTTTTTTTCAACGTTAACAGTTCAATTCCATTTCTTAGTGTATTGTACGTAATAATGAGTAACATTTTCTGCAATCCCTCTGCCAACATTACATCTACAATTAACATTACAACAGGAACAGGATCTGATTTTCTAGACACATTTAACTGACTCATCCCTGAAAACACATTTAAATTCTTCCTATTCAAAGGTTGGAATAGTTCATTATGACATTTCATGGGTGAATCATTAGAGTTAATGTCCTAAAAATCCTAACTGACTCACCACATTGCTCTTGTGGTTTCCTTGCAGAAGACAACTTTCAATTTTGATTTACTTGTACTAGCTATTATATCGATACTGTACCTTCAACCCAGATGCAATTTTGTGTAGCATGTAATTTTAAAATGACATTCAAAATAATGAACATGTACTTTCACGAGATTAGTTATAATACGTGGAATATTTGAGGTTTAACTGATGTACAAAACTATATTGTAAACTGCAAAAGATTTGAATAAACGTTGGGTCCGTTCAGTTAGCTTCTTTTCACCATTTGTAATCCATTTTGCTTTTTCAACCTCCTGGTTCTTTGATTATCATTGTTATGGAAAGATGGCAACAAGAGGCCCAGAGGGCCTGTATCACTCACCTGGATATCTAAGCAATCATGGGAATATATTCTCCAAATAAGATGAGCTAAAAATTGAAATTAACTAAAAAACAGGACTTGTAGTATCAAAGAAATGGAGCTAAACACAAAAAAGTAATCATGGTCAAATAAGCAGAACACATAGGTCACATTGACCTATATATATCACATAATGAGGCAGTAATCCTGAAAATGTGTCTGCATCTCATATTAAGTTTGATGACTGTGGGACATGTAGTATCAAAGAAATACATCTAAATGCAAAGTCTATCAGCGACTTTTCTCCTGAATGGAAATAACATAATATAAAGAGCAAACACTTAATACCCCCCTCTAATAGCATGTGTGTGTGTGTGTGTGTTTGTAAATTTTTCAGTGAATATGCAGCTTGAATTTAGAGTACTGTAGGCAGATTTTTTAAGCAGAACCCCATATATACGTTTCTCATGTTTTAAGACTGAACAACACGTTTCTTTCAAACAGCAGCTTAATGAAAAGATGCAATAGTTAGTGATTTTCAATTCTTTTAATTTGTTAGATTAATCAAAACAAACATGCATTGTTTATGCTCAAAACAATTACATGTATAGCAGAATACAGTTCCTTTATGGATTCCCAAATTTTGATCACAGAACCTTCCGAAACTTTAATAAAGAACTATATCGAAAGCAAGAGGCTGTATAAAAGTCAACTCAAGTTATTCAACAATTAGGAAACTGTTTATTTTTTGCCACTCTTCAGCCACTTGTTGCATTTACTAGAGCCATAACGACTAGACCTGAACAATCCTCCCGTTAAAATTCCTTTCAGGCTCTGCTTCTTGCTGGAATCGCCAACTATTTCATCCAGGGAATCATGTAAGAGGTTGTTACATTGACTATCTTGAGCCAGGACATCCCTCATACTATATACGGTCTCGACATCGCGCCGACCTATTCTACCAAGGAAATACCCAGGAATTTTATCCAAATGATAAAGACGTGAATTATAGGTATATTCCTGTTCAAAACTTTTCTCCTTCTCGTCCCAGTAAAGGTAGTCAGTACTCAATAAAATAGGTTGGTATAAAACTCGAAAATTGTCTATACCAGCACTTACAATGTTTTCAACTTTAAATGGATCTTCAGCGAATAGCATACGGAAATCACCTGTGTAGGACAGAGAAGCTACTTTCGTAAACAGATCCAACTCCGAGAACTTTTCAGGGAGAAACATCAACGAAAAATGGATAGCACTCTCAAGGTTGGTTTTCAGAGCATCTTTGACAGTGTCATCGTCAGGTGGTTTAATAATCATCACTGGCTTGTGGAGGCGACCACTGACATACAGTTTGTTCCACTGTACCAAGTCCTTTGTAAAAGTCTTTGTGCTAATGACGCCGTACTTAATAACTCTGTCTCCAAAAGGAACAATGGGATTAAAGTATAGCCCTGCTGCAGACTCCTGAACCATCGTTATGACGTTTGGCCCGAATCTTTTCAAGAATGAGTAATGGCTTGCATGTTGTTTGAGATTCTGTTCATGCCAAACTGCAGGTTCGTTGACAACAAAGATGAAGTCCATCATGTTTTGTTTAGTGTCTTTTTGTCCCTCTTGCTTAAATACTCCAGACCCATAAGCAAAAGCCATCTGCATTCCTTTTGGGAAACTGCTGACAACTTTGTGATAAACTGAGTTTACACCCCCAAATTTACTGACAGAAGTGTATAGCAGATTAGCCATTTTGAATTTAACAAGGTTAACAATATACAAAAAATGTTTTGTTTGGTTCAAGAAGTTAATTGAATTTGAATGGATTCACACGGTCTTCAATCATGTATTAATTAAAACATCAACCGTTCAATATAAACCGAAATATCAGCACAAATTCATTTTTTATCAGAATCTTCGACTGCTGTGAACACGTCCATGCCCTTTACTTGTTCTCCTTGAAACATTTTAAGCTGTCTTTGGCCGCGTCTTAAAGCATGTTCTACGTGGAGAATGTCAGTCCTGGACATGTCCCGAGCGTTTTTCTTGAATTCACTACGGATGTGGTCATCAAGTCCTGGCTTCTGTCTAGACAGTCTGAGGAACTGCTTATAGAGACTTAGGACCTGCAGCTGAATCTTACTGTGTCGTCCCATCTAGCTTAGCCATTGGCTATCAGGATTGGCGACTTCTTCAGGCACCAGAATCTGAAAAATATGGAGCACATTTGCTTAATACATGTTTTATGTGTGATTTCTCAAAAAATGGATGCAAAATTATCTGACTTTGGATATATTCTGATGGAAGAATTCCTATACTTTTACATGAATCACAAACTACTTTCTGGCATATCAACAAAACTCATTGCTTTTTAATATATTTTCAAATGGGTAGGTCGGAATTGAGGTAGTCCGAAATATTCTGACGTTTTATCGACTTTTTTTATATCGGTTTGTCGTTGATTAACGTCAGAACTCTGGCCCTCTATAATATGCGGGAAATAAGCGCCCCGTGCTCGGGTCACACTTCAAACTGATATTTTAGAAACAAATCGTCACTTTCACACACATGTCGCACATGGTCGCTTATTTCCCGCATATTATAGAGGGCCAGAATTCTGACGTTAATCGACGACACACCGATATAAAAAAAAGTTCATAAAACGTCAGAATAATTCGGACTAGAATTGAGGATGCGACAATGCATTGGTCATTGACTGATTTGCAAATTATACTGACCAAAATCCTGTGTGTTCACTAACTCAACAGTCAAAAGTATGATTAAAAACATATTTGTCTGTTTGCCAATGTAAAGCTAGGTCACATCATTAGCAAAGTGTCAAAGTCCAGCTATTATAATAAATCATTATTATGTAATAGGATGAGCAATATTAATAGTGATAAAGATAGTGCCGTCGCTGGGGTTGGAACCCGCAACCCTTAATTGGCTCTCCAGCCCGATGCTCTACCGCTGAGATAAAAGGAAATTCCCTACAGCTTTAGTACGCTTGTAAGGCAACCTAATCAATGCACATCTTTTACACTTGTGCTTGTCTGGCAATATAACCTTTGGGCTATTCAAACTCTGACAAGACGTTTCTTCTTTCATCTTTGTGCCCCCTACCCGCAAGATAATATTGGTCAAATAGTTAAATTTAGATAGGCCCATTTCTCATGACCAACTACAACAATTTGAAGATTAATTATATATATATAAATTAATGTTCGAGCCCCAGCTTAATATTTTTGCAATTATTCGAATAAGTTTAACAATAATCTGATGCCGGCTTTAATAGTTTGATTTAATTGTGTTCCAAGTTAATGTAATACTTGTTTAACGGTGATTTATAGATTTCAAAATATCAACTTTCATACTGCAAGTGCGTGAACAAACAAAAATGAAAAAGAGTTACTTCCCTTGATACTCTAGGGGACTTGTCTAGCTCTCAAGTTTTTAATATATTCTAAATTTTCTGTACTAAGAATATTACATTTGAGTTTATTTTATTGCTGTTTTAGTACATTTGAGTGAACTTAAGCATTGATGTAAACTAACGCCCGATTTCAAAGCAAGGAGGTCATCACAAACGAGCTGAACAACTAAAATGTAAACATCGGCATAGCTGAAATCCCCAATGTCATCCTTCACCTATCGACTAGCTGTTTGTGTAATAGTCACCAAATCGTTAGAAGATAGTCATGATGAAGAAGGAACAAACTATTGACTTACTCGAGTTTACTTGCTGTCTGCTGTACGCCGAGGTCGCCAGTCCGGTCGTTGAGTGTTCTTTTAAGGGAGGTAACTCTGACCGATTTAGGTGTCACATTATAAAATCAAATTACGGTTGCTCAATTTCCGGAATTTAATCAAGTCCAATCGGCCTGCTTGTTCAAGTTACGATAAAATAGTTAAGTATGCACTTAATTACTTTGAGTACAAACCACAGATACTTAAATTAATTTACCACTCTCCTTATCATAATCTTTGACTTATGTTTTAAGGTAGTGCCAGTTAAGAACCATCAATCACCTACTTGAAAACCTTGGCTACATTCGCGTATCCCTGTTGATCCACGATGAACGAACGCACTTGGACCGTTCTATAAGCAGAGCAAAAAAATGCAGTTTCGGAGAATAAAAAACAAGGCATCAAGAATAGTATGCCCTTCTTTTACGCATCAAGTGAGTTACATAACATATCTGAAAATCTTCATGTGGTTTGACATTGTTTTAGAAAGAAATAACGCAAACTAGCAATAGTCAGCATTTTTAGTTTCGGCCAGGTTGAAACGGTACGTGTGGCGCAGAAATATTCCACGATAAACGAACGCACTTGGACTGTTTTATAAGCAGAGCTAAAAATGCAGTTTCGGAGAATAAAAAACAATGTATCAAGAATAGTATGCCCTTCTTGCATGCGTCGACTGAATTACATAACGTTCTTTAATTACAACTAACAATGTTGGACTGTTCTATAAGCAGAGCTAAAAATGCAGTTTCGGAGAATAAAAAACAATGTATCAAGAATATTATGCCCTTCTTGCATGCGTCGACTGAATTACATAACGTTTCTTAAAACTAAAAATGTTGCTCGGCATTGTTTTAGAAAGAAATAACGCAAACTAGCAATAGTCAGCATTTTAGTTTCGGTCAGCTACGTCTGGACCCCTCAATCTACACGTGCAAAATTTTCCTGAGGTCAGCCTCGGTCCAGATCTGTATCTGTCGTTTTCTTTACAGGTTAAACTGGTTCAATCGTTTCAACCGGATACAGGAATGTACCCCCAATGTCCAATGTATACACATCTCTGTAAAAAAATGTCGTCTCTAACAATTAAATTTGTGACAAAAGAGTAGAGCATAAAATGAACAGACATATTTTTTTTTAATGTATAGTCAAGAATTTAGCCAATACATAATTGTTGTAATATTTTGGAATAATTATAAAACAAAGACAGAGAGTTTTAGTCATGAGCGAAGATGAATACATGTTTTATTATTTAACTTCTGTTGTAAGTTAAGTCGAAAAAGTGATTAAATAACCAATATTCTGTTAACCAAGGGTGAACCTGTGAAAACTTGTTGATGGTTCTTAACATGTAGATTTAAAAAGATGTAACTTGACACTGTGACATTTTTTAAAGTTTTGTTATTTGATAATGATGCTTTGCTTCAATGTTGCCGTTTGATACTGATTGCACATTTTTTAGAGCATTTAATATTATTTTCCAAATTAACATTAATGCCCGACTAACATTTGTTGTTTCTTAATTCACATCATACAATACCTGTAAAAATAATTGGTCTCAAGGCTGTGGAAATGATATTGATACCTTGCTTTTAGGATAATTCACCAGCTTTATGTTGTTTGACATTGTTGCTATATCTGTATCTTGTCTTTAGGGTGTTGATATTTCAGTTGTTGATCACACCCAAAATGAAGTTACACTCACTTCATTTAACTCATTCACCCCTCAAATTTCATAATGAACTATTCCAACCTTTGAATTGGAAGAGTTCAAATGTGTTTTTAAGGGCAAATAAGTTAAATCCAAGGCTTGCACTACAGCACATTCCACTTTGTATACTTGCTTAATGATGCTATATTTTCTAGCAAATGTTATTATTGTGATTATAGTTTTTCAATTCTGATTATTACAAGTAGTGTTAATTGTCAGTTGTTAGAGAAAAATGTGATATTACACAAAATGTGATATAAAGTAATGTGAAAATAAGTGGAATATATTGTATTACATATCGGTAAATAACATTGGCTAGGAATTCATCCAGTGCTCGCTTTGGTCACTGCTACCTTCGCATGAACACCAATTACAATACTGACTTCAGTAAATAATGTAATTACTGTACTAAAGTGTAGATGTGGGCAACACATACCTAATTCTATGACATAAAAGCACGGTCACTGTGGTCAAGATAACGGGCTTCCCAGTAAACAGTCTGGTTTTGATTCTTGATACAAATTCAATGGAGAAATCATCTCCTGTCCACCATCAAGGATATTGAGTTTGTTTATCAGAAAAGTGGTGGTCCGATCAGATGCTGAAAGGTATTGGGCCACCATAGGAGTTTTCTCCTGGTACTCCAGTTTCCTCCCACACGCTAACATCCGGGCCAACAAGAGTAATTAATATAATTTGAAAAATAAATAAAGTTTATAATTTATCAGAAAAGCTTCTGTGTATATAGAATCTACCTTCATTAGTTCTGTCACAATGTATGTAAAGGACACAGATCTACTTAAACAGTATACTATATGGCTGCTAGGGAGAACACTTGAACTTCAGACGTGACCTCCAACACACACTTGCATCATTTGACCATTTACCTGTGGCACTGTCCCACAAATGGACAAAGACTAGAGTATCCTTCAAGGTGTGTTAACATTTCTATATCAAAATATGGCTATACATCTCTTTATGAATCAAGTTTGAATTCTAAAATTATTTGACTCTTGAGCTTCTAATTTTGATGATGTGTTATTGGTATTGGAGTTTGAATTCATCAGTGTATTTATTCACATAAAACAAAACACGATTGGTACACATGTAGACATATTTAATTTTCAATGCCCATAAGTTATTACAACAATAATTTACTACTTATCACAATCGAAAAGGATAACCCCTTTTTTTATGAAATTACCAAACTCAGAATATTCAAAACACATTTTTCTTGTTGCTAAACATGTGTTTTTTTAAATGGCAGTGGGCAATCAATTATATTGCCAAGTGTCACTAAAATATTATCAATATCTGTGCAGTATCCGACCAATCTGATTAAAATAATCTGTGACATGGCTCCGTTAACTCGTATTACGCCTGTTCAGGCATGTTACGAACTTAACAGAGCCATGTAACAGATGATTTTATTCACATTGGTATCTGACCAAAGACAATCTGTGTTTGACAATGATAATACAAGTGCCTACCTGCACTTAGCTTTCATTGACACCCCAACCCTCCCCTCCAAAATGTTTTGGAATCTACCCTCGATATGTTTCTATCAGTTAATTCATTTTAACTACTGAAGATAACTACCATTTTACTATGAGTTGTTAAGAGTTTCATTTCTGAATTAAAAATAAGCACAATTATGTACAAGTATACGTATTCAAGCATGATTTTCAGAATTAAAATCTTCCCATGATTTAAATATCACTATTAAATTGTTCAAACACTCATAAAAAGTTTTTTTTGAAGAAATTGAAAAAAGGCAAGCAACATTAAAATATATGAATTGCGAAGCAGTATAATCTGTCTACACATGTTATATACTTATACAAGTGTGCCATCTAATGGTTCCTGAAGCTTAACAGTGTATAACCTCAATAGAAAAGATATCGGAATTACACATTATAAATACAAATAATATTTTTCTAATATTCAGCACATATCAATTATCAACACCATGATCGGTGAAACAAAAATGGCTGCTTTCGTGTATACCTGCTGAAATGGTCTAGGTTGCACAAAAATATTCTGTGATAAACGCACTTAGACCGAAAGTGGGCCAACTCTAAAGGCAGAAGTCAAAATGCACTATTTCAAGTTTTATGACCAAAACATAACATAAATATTGCAAACTAGCAATAGTCAGCCTTTTACTTTCAGACAGGCACATCTAGACCCCTCAATATATGCCAAATTTTCCCGATGCCGACCTTGGTTCAAATCTGTTGTTTTCTTTCAAGTTAAACCATTTGAAATGATTGGACTGGATATACGAACGCTGGCCGTGACATTTGTGAATACAACAATGAAATATGTATACAGCGGAACCTCATCATTAATTTTTCAAATCATTGCTTTGGTTTAAAAAATAAAAACCAAAATATATTGACGCAGTAACTTATTCTCATCACAAGGCTTGCCACTAAAAACTAATAAAACTAAAGTAGTTGATGAACAATACTTGAAAGTAAATCTTTTTTATTTGTTTGAGCCCAGATTTACATATGTACAGTACAGTAAAACATAACAAACCCCACGGGAAATAAGATTGAAGAAATTAGGTCATTATTCACTAAAATTATTAGTTTGATAAATGGGAATCTGTTTGCATGGGCAGAGGACACAAATTTGACTTCTTTAAAGCAAGAATTTGTATAGAACATGTTTTTCTGTAATCCCAAACAAGTTACTGAAAGCAGAAATTAAAATGAGTTTATTTTTGGTGAATGTTTTCTGTGGTAGCCACAGTATATGAGGGGAAATATTACCTTTATGGCAAGCTAGCCTTTCCAGTGATGTGCTGTTACCCTGGGACTCTCAATAGTTAAGTAATATCAAAGGCGGTCTGTGGATGGAGTGGTGCCTGCCCATGTAACATTTGGTGGCAACGTTGTGACCCTGGGATACCTTGAAAGGCCAGTTCCCAGTGACTAGGGACAGTGGTACACAGGGAGGACCCATGGGATTCCCTAGTCCATGTCTACGGACAAGACTTCTCAAAGAAGGGAATAGGGTAACAGTCAAGGACTTTAGGTAAAATGATTTACTGGCAAGCTTGTTTTTCCTGTGATATGGTTTATCCCCGGGACTCACTCAAAAGTGCAGCAACTCTGAACGTGTAAAGTGGCTGGATAATATGGCCGCTTGCATGTTACAGTACACATTTTATAAGTGGGCTTCTACTTTAAATATACACTTATACATGTACTGTATTAGCAAACTCAATCTTATCTCTCCATGGTACATTCCATCAATCAACATAATCATAAATTAACACGCCAATATTTTCTGTATGAAATGTACTTAGGAAAACATGAATGTATGAAGTTAATAACACTGTACATAAATTAGCAAAATCAGAGATAGAATGAAAGGTGATCAAATAGGAATTCTGCTTAAATTATAACATATACAGTATCACACAAACTGGTAACAAGTTCCCAATGCACCAAATGTTTTATGCACTATCAGGTACATGTATTATACAGGACATATTATATATGTAAACATTAATAAAAAAATCAATATTCAACTTTACATATCCTCAAGACACTGGGCAAAGCATTGCTAATCAATTTACTTTGGTACAAATATACGTGTCCGTAACACCTATGGAAAAATTCTCTAAGAATCTTATCAAGACAATCTACGGGCATATCTTTTACATCAAAGGACTGCCCTCGCTGCTTTTTTATTTCTCGCAGGTAAACTTTATACCCTGGAATATTAAAGAATGTTCCTATAAGAAATTTTCTGCAGAAAACTGTCTTTTCGACATAGCACAAATGTATAGTAATTTGCAATGCTTCATTCAGACCAACAGCACTCCCAACCTCACACAATGATAACAGGTCACACTCCACACTGGAGGACAGATGGCTTAGGTAACATACAAACAATACCTGTTAAAACAAAAACACTTCCACTTTGACATTGTTGTGTAATTTTCTTTAAATCAGAACCAAATTTAAGGTAAACCTGATGGTCTTTTTATTGCTACATCAGTAAGAGCATCAGCATTAAGTTATTTATAAAACCAGCCTACATAATTTTTATATTTCTTCGCAGCAGCTGTATTGCAATGTTTGAAGATGGTACAGTTTGTTAGCTCAGAGTTATTGCAACGTAACATATTACCATTGAATATCAGGTATAAAGTAAAAGAACTTTTCCCCATCATAAATCTCTCCAAGTTGCCAACCACACTCTTTTATGACAGAATTTATAGTCCACAAATAATCCAAATGATTCAAATTACTTAATTCTAATTTATATTGATCTCCGAGGAAGTCATGAAACTAAAAATTAATAAAGATTTTTTGAAATCCAATTTTATTACCAGTGGCATAATTGAACTTTTTATCAATATCATCAAAAAAACAACGACATATGACGCTGATCATTCCTTTCACTTCAAGTCCAGCAGAAATGTCAAAAATATGACTGTACTGTAAGGTTAAGTAAGACAAACAAAAGCTATACATTGCTAAGTGTTTGAAAATTACTTGGTGGGGGGGGAATCTTTGCAGTGCTTTGTTTGTTTTTTTGTGTGTGAAATAAATTCAACGGAGAAAATATAATTTGGAGTGTTATATTGATGTTAGTAGTCACAATATTATGTAGTCAGAATCAATTTAACAAAGAAATGAGTTTATACACTGAGTGACAATAAAACGATAAGGGTGAGTGTCAACGTCTGTATGGGAGACATTGGCTGTGACAACAAGTGTTGATAGAGGCTGTGTAAATGAAAATCTTAAAACATTATAATCTCAAAACTTTCACAAAAGAAGGAAAAAAAAATTAAAGTGTCTTAATAGGGTGATCATCATCAAAATCAGGTCAGAGCTATTCCAGAATAACAGGATGGTTGTAAGACAATGTATTATAGTCTATATAATCCAAACAATCTAAATATCGCATTTAATCGGATAGATGACAGTTTCTGAAAAATTGTCAACACATCCTATTCATTTTAGAATAGCCCTTAACCAATAAAACAGAATGACAAAAGGTATGTTGTACAGCCGTCCGAGTTGAGCGTGGAGTGAACATTTAGCGTGGCGAGGGGATCCTCAGGCCCCCTCCTCTGTATTGTGCCATTGGTCTATACCCAGGTCTTGAGGCGTCATGTCAGGACATATCCGCGACATTTCGGTCAGGATCCGTGAATTTCACGGTCAGAATGTAAAACATGACAGGAAATGGCACTAGAGCAATCAGTGTCCCATAGTACTTTGCATCATCAAGCTGTGTCATGGCAATTATGCCAAATGCGTGAAGAAACCAATGTCCCAGAAGGATCGTCAGGTTTCTTACATTCAGGAATGCTTCTTTCAATAAAGGCTTTACCCTCTGGAATGAAATGACAACACAAATTAAATAGTGATACTCACTACAATTTGTGATGAAAATATGTACAAGTAACAAGACATAAGTCTACAGATTCTTTTAATTCAGTAGGTTAGAAGGCTGGAAGTCAAGCTGAGAAATTAGGTCAATTTACCATGTTTAATATTTGACCTTGACGATGTCTAAGAAAGCTGCCTCATCACTTGTGCCACAATTAGTCACATGAGTAATGTAATGATGTGATATAAAAATATAGTTTCCATAGATGCAAGTCGGTAAAGTAGCTTAAATTTGTAACATGACAACATGCTGCAGGTTACTATATTACTGATTCAAAAATTGTGTGTTTAATATTCATCTCTTAACCCTTTCACCCCTATGTAACTTTAGTCCCTTTCACCCCTATGTAACTTTAGTAGACAATATCATGCATTGATCTGGATGAGTCCATTATGGTCTACAGTGGTGGAAGGGTTAACAATAGTGAACATTAAAGGCTAAAAATGACATTTACATTAGCTACTGTAGATTTCCTTTATTTCATGTGATGTTTAATTTCACATTAATTGATGATGGCCATCGATTGCAAATTAAGGTCACTGTCACCCAAGACATACGCATTGAATAAAATGCAATCTAATTAAAATTGAATTTTCAATCGCTCCCGTTTACTGATATGTTGCGTTCAATGTGACATATTAGTAAACGGGAGCGATGTGAAGATATAATTTTAATTAGATTGAATAAAATGCAAATTGAATCTCTGAAGAACAAGTACGAAAATGTTAGTTTAAAACATAATAATCTACAGCATTCAACATCCTGTTATAATAACACTTAATTTACATTTTCTGACAATGACGACACTTACCTGTTCTGATATACTGGATAAAAACACTGCATTTGTAATTACAGAAATTACTATTACAATGTATGGAAAAGCATAATCTGAAATATCAATGTAAAAGTTTATTATTTTAATTCAATTCTAGTCTTCAAAGTATTTGCTTTGCCAAAAAACATTGTACTCTGATAACCTACAGGAAAACATTATTTCTAACGATTATCATTTTTTCTTTTAACATGATTTTCTATGAGAGGACAATCCAAAATATGTCAATTTAAAGGATTATTTTGTCTCTAGGGGATATATAACCACATCTTACTTACGTTTTTAATTTTGAGCACATAGAATCTCCCCCATTGAAATTTCAAAAGGTTTGACAAGGATAAACTATATAAAATTAAAGCTTCTTGAGGTAAAAAAAAGTCACGGAGATATGTGATATGTGGTATCTCTACATTATATAAAGGCATAACTTGCGAGTGATCAGAGCACTTACAAAGAAGTCCTCCAAACACTGCCTGGAGAACGATGAGGATGGGGAGGAAGTACAGGGCAGCATATATGGACTTGGTGCCTCGACTCTGGACAAACTTGTAGGACACAAAAGGCCTCAACAGCATCAGAAGAACCAGGCAGAAGGCGTAGTAGATCATTGATATGGTGTACCTGTAATTATGTAATACAGGGTAACTCCTATTAAACATTGTAAACAGGCATCACAAAATAGGTTTTAATAATTGTATTTCAATAAATTATATACCACTGTTACATTTATTACTGCATCTACTTTTGGATTTTTTTATTTTTTTTTATTGTTTAACATTTTTTGTCAGAGTACCGGTATCCTTGACAGAACGTACAAACATGTGGTTTCCATATGGTAGCTAATACACAAAGATATTCTGGATCAAACTGAAGCCATAATCAAAAACACTGTATTGGTTCCTGATTTTCCTTAATGGTTACTGTTACTGGAAACCAGTCCCAGAAGTCACATAATGTGCAGTTTTTGTCTTTTAGAAACTGCCAAAAAATATGAATTTGAGTAGCTATGGTCTTATTACTTACAATGGGTAGACTATTTCCTGTGTACAATGGAGGGTGGTGGTGTAGTTTGGACTAGGGTTATACAGCATCGTGTACCAGTCGGAGAGCTCGCGAACAACACACGATCGAATGTTGAGTGACCCCACAGGATCCACCAGTAAAACTGTCAGTATCCCTGCTAGTACACACTCCACCAGTGCACTTACATGCAGCACGATTAGGGCCCTGTATTTCAAGATTGTATTGTATATTACATACATATGTATATAGGAATAGAAATAAATGAGATCTTTAACAATTAGCAACATACCTAACTAATCAATAACACTGCAATCTTATAGATAAAGCAGACTTGAACTGCTGGCTGCTATTTAAACTGATAGAGAATTCCCACGAATAGTATCATATTCAATTTGAATAAAAGATGGTTTTTTTTCGGTTTTTTTGGAAAATATTTGAAAGTCAAGATTTTGCTTGAATAAAACATTTGTACACAATGTCTAAGTATGTGTTAGATGCATCTTTAGTATTGTGGTACATTTGTATCATGTTTTGATCAGAACAACAACAAGAGGCCCATGGGCCTTAACGGTCACCTGAGTCCTACAGTATTTATTTTTGTTGTTGAAATATGTACCAATTTGAGTAAAAAATAGTATAATGTTAACTTAACTTTGTCAGGACCATGAGCTGATCATTCCTAGACCAATTTTAAGTGAGATCGGCCTATTAGAACTTAGTAGCAAAATAGCGGCCATGGCAGCCAAATTGTATTTCTGATTGACCCGAAAAATAACAACACTTTGTCAGGACCATGATTCGATCATTCCTACAAAGTTTCAGTTCAATCGGCCAAGTAGATCTTTACTTTAAGTTTGAAATAGTTTTCCAAAATGGCAGCCGTGGTGGCCATATTGGATTTCTGATCGACCCGAAAAATAACAACACTTTGTCAGGACCATGAGTCAATCATTCCTACAAAGTTTCAGTTCAATCGGCCTAGCAGAACTTGACTTTAAGTTTGAAATATGTTTTCAAAATGGTGGCCGTGGCGGCCATATTGGATTTATGATTGACCTGAAAAATAACAACACTTTGTCAGGACCATGAGTCGATCATTCCTACAAACTTTAAGTTCAATCGGTCCAGCAGAACTTGACTTTAAGTTTGAAATAGGTTTTCAAAATGGCGGCCGTGGCGGCCATATTGGATTTCTGATCGACCCGAAAAATAACAACACTTTGTCAGGACCATGAGGCGATCATTCCTACCAACTTTCAGTTCAATCGGTCCAGCAGAACTTGACTTTAAGTTTGAAATAGGTTTTCAAAATGGCGGCCGTGGCGGCCATATTGGATTTCTGATCGACCCGAAAAATAACAACACTTTGTCAGGACCATGAGGCGATCATTCCTACCAACTTTCAGTTCAATCGGTCCAGCAGAACTTGACTTTAAGTTTGAAATAGGTTTTCAAAATGGCGGCCGTGGCGGCCATATTGGATTTCTGATCGACCCGAAAAATAACAACACTTTGTCAGGACCATGAGGCGATCATTCCTACCAACTTTCAGTTCAATCGGTCCAGCAGAACTTGACTTTAAGTTTGAAATAGGTTTTCAAAATGGCGGCCGTGGCGGCCATATTGGATTTCTGATCGACCCGAAAAATAACAACACTTTGTCAGGACCATGAGGCGATCATTCCTACCAACTTTCAGTTCAATCGGTCCAGCAGAACTTGACTTTAAGTTTGAAATAGGTTTTCAAAATGGCGGCCGTGGCGGCCATATTGGATTTCTGATCGACCCGAAAAATAACAACACTTTGTCAGGACCATGAGGCGATCATTCCTACCAACTTTCAGTTCAATCGGCCCAGCAGAACTTGACTTTAAGTTTGAAATGTAAAATGTTAACGGACGACGGACGACGACGGACGACGGACGACGACGGACGAAAACGGATAGCAATAGGTCACTTGAGCTAAAGCTCAGGTGACCTTAAAAAATCCTTAAATTAAATTGAAATGCTCTAGTTGTACCTCTTCCGTTTATTTGTGTAGTCAATGAAAAACCAGTGGAAGATGAGAGACAGCAATGCCATGAAGCCAAGGTACAGCCAGTCATAGAACATGGGCGAGTCCTCACATTGTTTACACAGGGTGTTGGTGTCAGGCTGGTAGCCTCTAGGGCATGCCTGTAAAATTCAACAATACACAATACACATCCAGATTTCAGATAATATTCACAAATACTTTAAACAATATTATTTTAGTGAATTTACCTGAAGTACTGTTATCAGGCTAATACTTTGAAGTGAATGTTTTCTTAAACACTTCCAAGCACAAATGAAAAAGCTAATCTACTTTCATTTTGTATTTCTAACTTCCCTATCACTTTGACTTCTTATTGAAAATAGAATTTCCCCCACCTTTTGAGGAAAGAAGGGAAATTCTTAATGCAAGGAATCATATTCTTAAAAGTCTAGCCCAAAGTTTTGCCGAGGCCAGAAATTTAAAAATCTTACCCATAGAAATTTTAGACTTTTCTGTCTTTTTCCAAAAGTGGGAAGTTATTAGTTTCTTCAACCTCAAATATTGGTGTTGATGTGGCGTCATACAATTTGTTATGACAAGGAAATCTCCTCGTCTTTGCCCTAGGGTATTTTTCTCTGATCATAAGTGTGGATATCTCTGTGTAATGGGGGTTAACTAACTCTCTTACCCCACATTGTGAGTATGTTCCTCCTCCCGTATCCTTTCGTCCGCAATATAATCCAGGACATTTTACAACTGAAACTAGAATCAAAATCATTATATTAGAAAATGTGAAAGATCAAATTTAAATAATTGTATTTTTAGTTCAGGTACAATTTAATCATCCACATTTAAAGGTGAAGTTTTTTGTAAGCTTCATAGGATATGGGGTTCGATTCACCAATATGACATAAAAGTGAGGTCATCTGCCCAGCCACATGGGTAATATAAGTTATTATTTTTCTATTCATTTAACACTGATAGAGGATGCTGAACACCTTCAGATCAGTTTTGAAATCTTTAAGTATAATTCCTATCATTTTTTTTTAATTTGGAATTTTCAGAAACAAAAAAATGTACCATCTACACAACAAGAGGCCCAATGGGCCTGAATCGCTCACCTGGTATTAATATCACAAATAATCTTTAAAGTGGACTAAAATACAGCTACAGGCAGAATATCAGTGTTTGACTCATAAGAACCTATTAAAAGATTTAAACATATGACGCCTGTGACCTTGAATGTCGAACAAGGACATAAGGTTGAACAGAGTTTATAGTCGTCCAACCAAGCATGCTTCTGGCAAAATAGCATTACCCTGGACCTTTTGGTTAAACAGAACAAGTCATTTAAAGATTTAAACATATATTGACCACTGTGACCTTGCATATGGGCGAAGGTCATTCATTGGTAAAAACCTGGTAGTCTCTCATCCCAGCATGTTAATGGCCAAATATTATCATCCTAGGACTTTTGGTTATTGAAAAGATGTTGTTTAAAGGTTTTAAACATATTTGACCATTGTGACCTTGAATAATTGTCAAGGTCATTCATTTTAACAAACTTGGTAGCGCTTCATCCCAGCATGCTACAGGCCAAATATTATAACCCTCAGCCTCTTGGTTATTGAGATGAAGTAGTTTTAAAGGTTTTAAACATATTTGACCCCTGTGACCTTGAAAATGGGTGAAAGTCATTTGTTTGAAGAAACTTGGTAGCCCTTCATCCCAGCATGCTAAAGGCCCAATATCATCACCCTAGGCCTCTTTGTTATTCAGAAGAGGTCGTTCAAAGATTTTAACATATTTGACGCCTGTGACCTTGGATATGAGCTAAGTTCATTCATTCGAACATATTTGGTAGCCCTTCATCCCAGCATCTAACTGGCAAAATATCATAACCCTAGGCCTCTTGGTAGTTCAGAAGAAGTTGTTTAAAGGTTTTAAACATATTTGACCCCTGCAACCTTGAAAATGGGCGAAGGTCATTTGTTTGAACAAACTTAGTAGCCCTTCATCCAAGCATGATACTGGCCAAATTTCATCACCCTTAGCCTTTTAGTTACTGAGAAGATGCTGTTGAAAGGTATTTAACATATTTGACCCCTGTGACCTTGAAAATAGATGAAGGTCATACATTTAAACAAACTTGGTAGCCCTTCATCCAAGCATGATACTGGCCAAATACCATCACCCTTAACCTTTTAGTTACTGAGAAGAAGTTGTTGAAAGGTATTTAACATTTTTGACCCCTGTGACCTTGAAAATAGATGAAGGTCATTCATTTGAACAAACTTGGTAGCCCTTCATCCCAGCATGCTTCTGGCCAAATATCATCACCCTAGGCCTTTTGGTTACTGAGAAGAAGTTGTTTAAAGTAAAATGTTGACAACGGACGGACGACGGACGGCGCACCATGCCATAAGCTCACCTGGCCCGAAGGGCCAGGTGAGCTTATAAAAAGAACACTTTCACGATTTTAAACAATCATTTTTTATCAGACCAGTTTAATAAAATGGAAATGCAAAACATCAAAGATATCCTTTATCTCAGAAAAGTGGAAATATATATTACCAATTAAAATATATATCCAATGCACAATCCCTGAAGATATATATGAGATTTATTGGGGTATTTTCAGTGAGATATCCTTTATTTTGGATACAAAAAATTATGAAAATGTGCGATAAGTATCAACCAGCTTTGTAGAGTTTCAAAGTCTTCAGGTAAGTGCATTTGATTTTCAGTATCTAGCTGATCAGGGTGTGTGGTGTATTGAATCGCAAGATGGTCAGTGGTAGAATGAAAACCAGTTTGACAGGTAATGCGCTTACCTGTATATACCCAGTGAGATCTATACTTGTTGCCAAGCAAGCACAAACTAAAATGTCAGCGCTTTAATTAGAAATGATAACCTGGAGAGATAGCCACTTGGTAACATCTCAAAACCAGAAAAAATACACTTTCATATTTTTTTTAAATCTCTATCAAAGGCTTTTTACTTTCACTGTCAGCTTTAAAAGGTAGGCCTAATCATCCCTAGACTAAACATAATGCTAAACTATGTATTATAAGGATAAACCAGGTCCAGTACACTCTACTGATTGAGCTATATAGCTGTAAAGACCTATAATAGCTCTATTGACCTATCTGAAATAGGTCTTTTGAGCTATTTTCAAGTGATTTTCTTTTTCAGGAAAACGGAACAAAGTCGCATTTAAAAGAAGATTGTATCATTAGGTTCAAAACAAAAGACATTAAATGCAAGTATTCTTTTTAAAAAATAATGATGTAAAGAAATCGGAATTTTACATTTATGAAAAATGAATATAAACATCTAAATGTATGCTTTTTGTAGTCAACATTACCATTAACCTTATTGTTTTATGCGACTTTGCTTAAATTTGCACGCTGCACATACTACTCGAAAGAGGGTGTTGCAGAATATATAGATAGATAGATTTAATGAAATCTGAGAAAATATAGCTCAATACAGCTATAATTTATATGTGTATATAGCTATATATGTCTTTTTAGCTATATAGCTCAATCGGCAGAGTGTACTGGACCTGTAAACTGTTGTAATATTGTAACTGTTGACATATTTATTGATTTATAAGTATTTTTGCAAAGAGTGAACTGATTAGGTCTAATTGCTGTAGGAACTCTATCTAAATCGTTATAAATCTCTGATTTAGATAAGAGTTCCTACAGGAATTAATTTGGGTCCTGCCTCCTCACATAATCGAAACGAGCTGCGGGTCCCGTGTCTTTAGATATAATGCATGTATACCTTTTTGCGCAAAAGAAATACCAAAAATCGCCATAAGAAACCATGCTTTCAAAAATTCGTTGTAGGGCCTATGTCTGGCCCATGTACCGAATGGCAGCATTATGTCATTTTCTTCTTTTCCTCATCGCAATTTTTCGTTTGGACGTTTAGGAGTCAGCGTAGCACAAAACCTTCCGTCAGTTCACCTTTTTTCAATAGAAGATAAGCATTCGTCTGATTCCGTTTTTTTCAAGCTCTTCTGGTTTTGGAGGTTTGTTAAGGTCAGAACATCCGGAGGGTGAGAACCTGTGAAATTTTCCTTTAATTTTTAATGTATATGATGAAATATGACATCATCAACATTTTCTATAAATACTAATGACTGGTTGTCGTAATCATGAATAATTTGACGCCTACGTGTCCAAATATCAGAGACAGAAACTCGCGCCCTTTATGAAAACAGGCGTTGCGGTCCACTCCAGTCATATCCGAGGGAGCTGGGCCTGGGTTCAGAATTTTGTAATGAAGTCGATCACAACAGTACTTGTGGTGCTGATGGTTTTTGGTCTTTTGCTTTCATTCTCTCCAAACATATTCGATATTGGCGAAGAAAAGACGAAAGAGATTACACAAAAGAAACATGACAAAGAAGCGATGGGTGCTTCTCCAGATAAATTGTTCTGGTTTGTACAGGTAATTATAAGCAGCCACCAGTTGTAATGAACATGCTGTAGATATATATACTCATAACGATTATATAGACAGGATGGACATCTTAAGACATTGGTATGAAAATATCAGAACATGCATCGTGATGATATGTAACTGTCACTGTGTTTATATTATAAATGTACAAGTGTAGTAGGGGAGGGTTTTGGGTACACAATATATTGATTAGATGTTTAATTTATCGTGTGTCAATACACTGCCGGTCAGCTAAGTGACATGTATTAGACTGTGATATTCGTGTTCAGTATCTAGTGCACACAGTAAGTTACATACCTGTAGTTATTCTTTAGAAAGTGAAGTTGAGCTGCAACATTGTCAGGTCATTTCAGGGCGACTGTAGTTGACCCTGTTGTGTGGTGTATCAACTGGATAGTCGATAATATGCCACATATAGTTTTGCACGAGCGAGTGTACTTTGGTAGTGTAGGCTAGGGTATAAATACAGTTGTTGCATGTGAAATAGCGGGCAGTCGAACAGATTTGTTTCCGGAGGTGTGCCACATTTCTAGCCGGGTATATAACTTAGCACCGGTAGGTCGTAGACCCTAATGGCTAGGGGGATCTCAAGCGGATGTAGGACCTAGACCCAGGGGCGAGTTCGTGTGTAAATTTAGTATGTAAGTGTGGGTGAAAGGGCTTCTCATCTGTAAATACTACATACATCCTCATATTAATATATATTGTTTACAGTTTATTTGGATCCTATTATCTCTTCTTTAGCCGACAGGTTTCGTGCGTTGTGACCTACCAAACCTGGGTTTACAACATAGGGCGATGCGGGACTCGGGGACACACTAAATACAGATTAAGTGTGTGAATTGCCCGGAGGCCGACTCATCCTATTACACAAGGATGCACATTGAATTGCTAGTATATTGCTACTTAAAGTAAATGTAAAATCACCCTAATTATGGTGCATTTCAAAAATGTATTCATTTTGATTGAAATGCATCTGTCCTTTATATATTTGTTATATTTCTAACCCATCAGGTATCAGACATTCATATCAGCAAATTCTACGATTCCAGAAGAGCTGCTGATTTGCTACAGTTCTGCCAGGAACAATTGACAGTGATTAAGCCAGATTTTGTTATTGCATCAGGTAAAAACTGCAGTGAAATACCGGTAGGTTAGGTTACATACATTTCATCATGAACTATTCCAGAATGAAATGTACATTAAGTTGCACAAGGAGGCTGCATCCCACAATACTTTTATTTCCTTTACTATACCAATATTGACAAATAATTAAGACTTTATAATTTATATATTTATAAACATTTAAGAGTCTTATTGTCCTGAGGCATGTCCTAGAGGTTACCAGCTCGACACCAGTATGGGAAGATGGTCTATTTCTAAAACGTATGTATAAATAAATACATATCACTGTAGTGTGTGCATTAATCTTGAATAAAGAGAGATGCTGGGTTACATTGAAATATTTTCCATTGCAGGAGATCTGACTGATGCAAAATTACCAGATGCCAGAGGATCAAGGCAATATATAGAGGAATGGACAGCATATCAGGAAACTGCACAGAAATGCCATAAAATTGTTGGTAAATGGCTAGATATCAGAGGAAACCACGGTAAGGAAAAAGGAGGAATGCCATATTTTGTAAAGGCACTCACAAGGACCCATACTGTGGCATGCTGTTTTATGTGGCTAATTTATTTAGAGTGAAAAGGGAAAATGTACGGGAATCTGCTGATGTCAAAAGTAAAAAAATAGGTTAATTGTAATTTGTATTGATTTGTTTCAAGTTTACTTATCTAACAGAAAACAGTGTTATCTGTGATGGCTAAAAATCTAACAAACATTAATAAATGTTGTCATTCTTCAAGGTTCTGTTCTTGGCCCTTTTTTATGCCCCCGCCATAAAATGGAGGGGCATAGAGTGTTGCCCATGTCCATCCCGTCCCGTTGCGTCCCGTCCCGATTTAATGTAAACACCTGTCCCGTCCCGATTTAATGTAGACACTTAGCAACTTCATTCTTTGACAGATTTTAGTCAAACTTTATACAAAGGTACAACCCTCCATAAAATGTGGGGGCCCGGCATATAGTGTTGCCAATGTTTGTCGCGTCCCGTCCCGATTCAATGTAAACATTAAGCAACTTCATTCTTTGACATATTTTGGTCAAACTTTATACAAAGGTCAACTATGAGTTTACTTCGGACATTGTTGTGTTTCAGGGTTCCAAGGTCAAGGTCACTGTTGCTATATATAGAAAATCATCAACTTATTCAATTTGAACACTTTGCAACTTCATTCTTTCACAGATTTTAGTCAAACTTTATACAAAGGTCAAATATGGGTATACCTCTGACATCCTTGTGTTTCAGGGTCCCAAGGTCAAGGCCAAGGTCACTGTTGCTATATATAGAAAATCATCAACTGGTTCAATTCAAACACTTAGCAACTTCATTCAATATGTTATGGAGATGGTAATAACATACAGAAAAAACATGAATATTAAAATCAACTGATCAACTTTGAGTGTAATACCTTGTGTGTGTGCATGTTTCAGGGTAACAAGATCAAAGTGGTTGTAACTTTTTTTATAGAACAATAAAACTAATTTCACATGGCAGCAGCGGCATTGATGTCTTACAGACATTTTCTAGTTTTGTGTTATTTTTATTAATGATTTCACAAATAATTTTTCTTCAGATATCAAACTTTTTGCTGACAATACTTCTCTATGTAATAGTGAATAATTATAAATAAATGACCTTGGTGAACTTGGTGATATACTCATTATTATTCCTCTTCAGTCAAGCATGGGCTAACCAATAGCAAAATCTTTTTAATTTGAACAAAATTGTAGCATTAAGTTTCACTAAAATTCTGACCAATCTTCATCTCTCACTATTTTATTTCACAACTAGAACATCAGACATTTTGCTTATGTTAGATTGAATGTACTTACGTGGTACAGTTTCAGTTAAACACTACATAAATTATGGATTAAAACAGTATTGGAATATTCAGATATCATAGTATTGACAACTGTTTTAAATTTGAATTGAATCTGTTCAAGTTGCTCCTTAATATATATCGAAACAAGCTTCAGAAGGGGTACATCTCCTCAAATGCTTTCTTTAGATCAAAATCACTGCAAGCTAAAAGAAATAAAAATAAACTCATACTTGTATTCAAGGTCATTAAGAATTACACACCTGCATGCATATCTACAGTATCAGTCAACTACACAGAAGCATAAACAAAAAAATGCTCTGGAGAAGAATGAATCTTCAGTGTACCTCCTGCTCGAACTTTTATAGTTATATCTGTGATTATATAACTGTGATTAACTGAAACACTGAAATCTTCTATAAAATATCCCTTTTTAGTTTAAGATTTGAAAACTAAACTTAAAACAGGATATTCTTTCACCAACTCTGAATCCGTTAGTACACTACTTATAATCCAAGAATCTCAATTTCATTCTATGGCAGTTAACCCTTTCACCACCGTAAACCATAATGGACTCATCCCCATAAATGCATGGTAGAGTCAACTAAAGTTACCTAGGGGTAAAAGGGTTAAGGATCTCTGCAAATTATTCAGATTATGATAAGCATGCATTTTTTGGTTGATGAATGTTCCTGTACTTGTGGTGCAAATATAGAAAAAAAATATGATACATTTTGGGTTCAAATGTTCCCTTTATACAATTGAGCATCATATTACCTGGTATCTCTTTTTGCAGTCTATAAGGATATGGAAATCTCGGTGTTTTATTATATGATCTAGCTGATAAGTCAAATGAAATTTATATAGGTGTACTCAGTTGTACTAATTTTTATTTAGAAAATATCCAAAGAAATCCATTAATAAGTAATATTTTCTAACACTGTTCATAATTGGGGATTTCATCAGATATAGATGTTACTGTTTTATACGCCCGTCAAATTTGACGGGAGTATTATGGTATGGCGTTGTCCGGCCGGCGTAAACTTTGTTTGTCCAGCTATCTCCTCCTACATTCGACCGATCTATTTGAAACTTGGTATACATTATAATCATGATATGAAGTTGTGTCTCCCAAAAAAGAATTTTGATTCGACAATTTTTCCAGAAGTTATTGCCCTTTATTCATTTCGGTAATTAATTTTTGTCTGGTGATCTCCTCCTACATTTTTCGACCGATCTCTTTGAAACATGGTATACATTATAATCATGATATGAAGTTGTGTCTCCCTTAAAAGAATTTTGATTCGACAATTTTTCCACAAGTTATTGCCCTTTATTCATTTCGGTAATTGATTTTTGTCTGGTGATCTCCTCCTACATTTTTCGACCGATCTCTTTGAAACTTGGTATACTGTATAATCATGATATGAAGTTGTGTCTCCCTTAAAAGAATTTTGATTTGACAATTTTTCCAAAGTAATTGCCCTTTGTTTATTTCAGTATTTGATTTTTGTCCGGCAATCTCTTCTTACATTTTTCAACAGATCTCTTTGAAACTTGATATACTTTATAATCATGCTATGAAGTTGTGTCTCCCTTAAAAGAATTTTGATTTGACGATTTTTGCAAAATGTATTGCCTTTTGTTAATTTCAGTATTTGATTTTTGTCCGAAAAATGTCTACTGCATGTTTTATAGCATATCAGCTAACCACTCTTAGAATGATGCAGATCTTATTTCAATGTAAGAAAGTATATAATACAATATGGCATTCTGAGGGTGTATTTTGTTTCACCCCGCGGTACTCTTGTTATAGTGTATTATCTCCCTTTGATTGTAACTGCCTGTAAAAATCTCTAATTAATATATTGCTGGTGTGGATCTCAAACTGCAGCATAGAAATTTGGAATGCTATATGACTAAGGTTGAAGCTTGCCTTATTTCAAAGTGATTTATTACATTTACTGCGAGGCTGAACCTCCAGTATTATTGAACTTTTCACATTATCAGATATTGTAGTGGTAACAAGTGTTTTGAGATAGATAAGATTTTCTACACCCTGACTCATATTGTCTGCTTGCTATTACAGATGATTTTGATGTGCCATCAGAAGATCATGAAAAGAATTATTTCAGGTAATTAATATTAAAACATTGGGATGAACATAGATAATGTGTTCATGAGAATAATTTTATGTATTTGATATTTAAAAGATGAAGAATCGAGGATCATGGTCTTTATTTAAAATGAAATCATATATCAAAGACATTAAAATATATCAGCAAAATATATCAATATATTTTAACTATCTCTGATTTGACTGTAAAATTAAAATTATAAAACCAGTATATCACACACACAAAAATATGTTTTTGGTATCTTCACTTTTTTTCATCAATATTCATTATGTTTGTTTCACCTCTAAAATGATATATGTAATTTTCCAGGAATTACTCAATACAAGGATCTAACCATCCCAACTCGTACCTGTACCAGCACAACAAACCCTGGGGCAGGTACTCGTTCATCGCCATGGATGCCTGTCCCGATCCCGGGCCAAGGAGACCTTTCAACTTCTTTGGCTATATCAACAATGTAGGTTTTCCTAATGTTAACTGCATAGTTATGTGAATTTCACATGATATAGAATCCTACACCAGATCCATATATATTATGTGGGTGGTAGGAAGACATTTTCCATGATTATAACAAAAAAATTACATTGATTTTGGTATTCTATGCATCTCACAAAATTAAAGTAAATGTACAAGTAAATAGAACTTAAAATGCAGTTTAAAAGACAGAGAGCCCTGTTATAGCGATTTAAATTTGAATTACACGAAATTTCCAGTAAAAGAAATTGATGCCCCCCCCCCCCACCCCCCCAAAAAAATAAATAAATAAATAAAAACATCCAGGATATATATGTAATGTTAATTTACCTTTTGCTTTACCAATCCTTGGCTTTTGTAGAGGAAGACAAAGCGCCTGATTGAACATGTCAAACAAACAAACGGAAGCAACATGACAGTGTGGTTTGGTCACTACCCTACCTCCTTGATAATCATGGAGAACGGAACTAGGATTAGGTCACTCATGAGGTCAGCTTGTGTTCTTTAGTATCCTTAAATCAGTGGATGCATTTGTCTTACTCATTATTTTTACAAAAAAAATATTAACAAGGAAGGAATCCAGTTTATTTTATTGCTGATTGTGTATGGGTTGTTTTTAACTTCAGAGGGTTGCATAAAAAAAGTATTTGAATTAAAGGTCCTGTATTGAACATTGAGGTATCAAACCTTTTCTGCTTTTTAGCTCACCTGCCTGAAGGGCAAGTGAGCTAATGTCATGGTGCGGCGTCCGTCGTCCGTCCGTCCGTCCTCGTCCGTCAACTTTTCCTTTAAACAACTTCTTTTGAAGAACGGACAGGCCCAGAGTCATGATATTGGGCTGAAAGCTTTGTTGGTAGGAGCCCTACAAAGTTTGAGAACGAAAACGACTTTGACCTACTTTAAAGGTCACAGGGGTCAAATGTGTCATAAGCTTCAAATGACTTCTTTTGAAGAACTGACAGGCCCAGAGTCATGATAGTGGGCTGAAAGCTTTGTTGTTAGGAGCCCTACAAAGTTTGAGAACGAAAACGACTTTGACCTACTTTAAAGGTCACAGGGGTCAAATAGGTCAAAAACTTCAAACGACTTCTTCTGAAGATCTAAAAGTTATAGAATCTTCATATTTGGCTGATGGCTTCCTGGGGTGGAGCCCAACAAAGTTTGAGAATGAAAATTACCTTGACCTACTTTCAAGGTCACAGGGGTCAAATGTGTAATAAGCTTCAAATGACTTCTTTTGAAGAACTGAAAGGTAAAGAATCTTTATATTTGGCTTGTGGCTTCCTGGGATAGAGCCCAACGAAGTTTGAGGAAGAAAATTAGTTTGACTTACTTTCAAGGTCACAGGGGTCAAATATGTAAAAAAAACTTCAAACGACGTCTTCTGAAGAACTAAAAGGTATAGAATCTTCATATTTGGCTGATTAGTTCCTGGGATAAAGCCCAACAAAGTTTGAGAATGAAAATTACCTTGTTCTACTTTCAAGGTCACAGGGGTCAAATGTGTAAAAAACTTCAAATGACTTCTGAAGAAGAACTGAGAGGTATAGAATCTTTATATTTGATTGATGGCTTCCTGGGATAGAGCCCGACAAAATTTGAGGAAGAAAATGACCTTGACCATCTTTCAAGGTCACAGGGGTCAAATGTGTCAGACACTTCAAACGACTTCTTAACAACTGAAAGGTATAGAATCTTTATATTTGGTTTGTAGCTTCCTAGGAAAGAGCCCAACAAAGTTTGAGAATGAAAATGACCTTGACCATCTTTCAAGGTCACAGGAGTCAAATGTATCAGACACTTTAAACGACTTCTTCTGAAGAACTGGAAGTTATAGAACCTTAATATTCGGCTGGTTATTTCCGGGGAAAGAGCCCAACAAAGTTTGCGAGGGAAATATTTTTAGTGCAATATAATATTTAATGAGAATATTTTGCTATGACTGCTTAAATATTCAGGTGAGCGAAACAGGCCCTCTTTGGCCAATGTTCATTTCTATTTTATGTTGGGTTTCCTCAGAAATGCTGCGGCGTTCCTGTGTGGCCACCTCCACACTCTGGCTGGGCTTATCCCAAAGATGCATGCTCGACACAACACCGGCATGCTGGAACTGGAGCTGGGCGACTGGAAAGATAACCGACTGTAGGTATATTGTAGTAATGTTGACCAGAGGAAAGTGAGTATTTGAGTATTCCTCGCAAATTAAAATCTTTCTTCCTTAATATGCTAAATTTTTGTGCTATTTTTCTGAATTATTCATATTGTCAGGGAAAATATATTATAAAATGAACTACATAGCCAGTATTGAGATGATGCATGGGAGAATGTATGATGATGCTAGATTGTAGTTTGGTAGATGGGAGACTAAGGATAGATATAAGGTAAAGGTAAAGAGGATTGATGAGCCATGATGACTTATATTCTCTGAAGCAAAGTTCAGAACACAGGACCGTTTTGACAAGGACTTAACCTATTTGTAATATCTGCTCTATTAAGTTGGACCCAATATCAAATTCTTTGACACAAAAATATGACCTGCAGAAATATTAAGCAAACCTTGTAATACACATTCCGGATGGTGAGTGAAGGGAAATCCGTTTCAGCAGTTAGTAAATAGAACGTTCTGACTTTTATCTACTTTTGATAACTAGTTACTGGTAGTGAGCACATGACGCTTAACCTATCTGAATATCTTTGTTTTTAAAATGGAACATCATCTGGTGTGTGAGTAGATAGCTATATATAGATTTTACTCTTTGTTTACAGATACCGAGTGCTAGCAATAGACCACGACATGATCTCTTTCACGGATGAGCGTCTGGGGCATTGGCCTGTGATCCTGGTGACCAACCCCAAACATGCCATGTACATGTCTGATGAGGAGGCTCTGGACAAACCTGCCAACTCAACTCACATCAGGTAGAGATACATAGGTCAATCACCACACAACAGTGACAGCAATATATCTACCAGTTATTTTAATGTGGGTATCCAGCTTTGATAGTGCTATCCTGACTTACAGATAATGAAGATCTTACATATTTATGTATTTGAAGTGGCACAGAAATCTTAGACAGCAACCAGATTAAGAGTATTCACCATAACATACATTATAAATATAATTATGCACACTATTTTATGATGACAGTTTATTTAAAGGCATGTCTCCTTATTTCTGTCAATCATGTTTTGCAATCATGTTAATGACCTGCTACATCATCATCTAATAGTAATTTCTTTATTGTTGTGGTATTGTCCGATTTCTGTATAATAAAAAAAAAGATTGGTCTTGTGGTAGGGAAACACAATTTTTGTTTCCCTGTAATTAATCATGTTTCACTGAGGCATCACAGTTGGTAATGTTGACATGTTATTTTTATAAATCCTTCTGAGAACCGTTTCACATGTGGCCTATTTCAGGATTCTGGTTTTCTCCCCTGATGAGATAACAAAAGCAGATGTGTACATAGATAACATGTATGTAGGGCCAGCTCACCATGTCCAGGGGCCACTGTTTGTGTCACCATGGCAACCTCACAAGTACAACAATGGTGTACATAATTTGGGGATTGTTGTACAGGTAACTATGACAATCTTTGAAATTGAATATTAATTAATAACTGAACATCACCCTAGATAATTAATCTTACTTATTATGATCTGTAACTTTAATTAGTGTTTTATTCGAAAGATTATGTCTATATATTTTACTTGAGAGTAGCATCAACTTTTCTGATGTTACAAGGTATTAACTTGTTTTGAAAATGAAAGCATTGTTGTCTCACCTTCCCCAAAGGGCTATGTTAGCTTTTGATAAAAGTAAATCATGGCATCTGTTGTTTATTATTAGCTTTCATTTGTTCAAAGACTGTACCTCAGGATGGTTCTAGGATTGGCCTCAGGGTCCGTCCTCACCCCTGGTGACTTAGTCCTTGAGACACAGCCACAACAACGGAATATTTGAGATTCCCTTAAAGACTTGCTCCCTGGTGTAAAATGAACAAAGGCTTGTGATCCCTACACTAGAACCAAATATACAACGACTGAGAATTAACAGACACATACATGTATGCCAGTGTTGGTTAGGGGTCAAAACCTTCTGCTCTGGATTTAGTCCCTGGGTCATAGCATAAAAACACTTGAGATCCCCATCTTTATATCAGATATACATTTTCTGGGCATGTAAACAGAAATATACATATGCTATGCAGATTGGCCTTGGTCTGTCCCTGGTTCTAGGGACTTGGTCCCTTAGTCATAACATGGAAATGATTGACATCTCCATCCTATAACCACATTTGATAAGTCTAACCTATAACCACATTTGTGGGGCATGAAGAGGCAAATTGACATGTTCTTCTAGGATTTGTTGGGCATGAAGAGATGAATGTATAGGTATATTAAGTAGGATTAACCTAAACCCAGGGAACCTAGTCCCTCACTATATATTCTTACATATGCTTGCTGGGCATGAAGAGATGAAAATAATCATGCTACCAAGCCCAGCCCCTCAAGATTTATTTGCATTATTACTTTTAATGATAATATTTTGCCAAGTTCGCTTAAATATCCAGCGGAGTAATACAGGCCCTCCTATACTTGTCACCTAATAGGGAAAGTTATAAGATGTGCCTATTCTGTTATAGCAATGGTATATTCATACTGACAACCATCTAGGTTTAATATGAGATATTTTGACAGACGACATACCTGTGAAAAGAGTTACTGTAAACTTGGAATATTACGCGCAGGGGAAACTTTCGCTTATAACACGTAGTTGGATCGTCCGCGTAAATTTCCCTCGCGCGTATGGTTTCGTCGATAGTGTAAGGAACGACAACTCTGATAGATATTGGTACATTTGTATGTGTGATGTCCTCCTGTAATATTGCTTTGTTAACGTATTACTAGTTAACGTACATTGTCTTGTAATGGTATAAAATATAAACAATAACTACTGAAATAAACTATTTGATAAATTGAAGTTTTTAATGAACAACAATTTTGAAAATCTTTTTAAAGGCACAGAGAAAGTCATAAATAAACCCAGGTGCATCGAGGTTCATTGGCATTTGGAAAACGTGCTTGATTACGAGATCAGCTGGTATAAGACACACACATACACCTGAATACAGTTCACCTTTATTTTCATCTGTCAAATGACCAGAAAGTCATGAATAAACCCGGGTGCATCAAGGTCCGGTACACATCACTCACACACATGTCTACAGGACACAAACAGCTAGTAATCGTGTGCAAGTCTGTGCAACAATCCCTACACAGGTAAATGCCCCTGTCATCATGGTAGCAACAGTAACTGTGCTTGATGACTTAAGATAACTTACGAATAGTGTATGGTTTCATCATTGTTATTTGGAAAACGTGTTTGATTTGACTAAATAGCACTCACCTGTTTGATCCCAGTTGATTACAAGATTAGCTGGTATAAGACACACACATACACATGAATACAGTTCACCTTTGTTTTCATCTGTCCAATGACCAGTCGGTATGCATACGTAACATGTACTCAGTAGCTACTAGTATTTTTACCTTTACACATTTTGTAAAGTAAGGGAGATAACTATGCAGAGTAAACGTCTGTCTACCGCGACCACATAAATTGCCCCCGCGCGTTTAGTTTTGACCTTCAAATCGCATATTTTTCACCCAGCGTAAATAACCACGTTTACAGTAGATTGAAATAATATTTGTTGGAAAGAAAATTGTTCAAGATGACGGTTGAATGCTAAAAAAAAATATCAACATAAATTCTGCATCAAGTTAATGTTTTATGTTTTCTGTGTTAAGTACATTATTAGTGACAATAATGCATTCATTTTGTAATCTGTTTGTAAACTTTTGAAGGATGCTGCTAAGAGAAGTCGATATGTGACCCAGCCTTTTACCATCGACACTAAAGGATTAGCACTCCCAGTCATCCCAGCCTTTCTACTGATAGCCAATATCCACAATTTGGTATGTAAACTGTATAAATATTGCATGTCTAAACTATTTTTATAGGAGTTGTTCCCTTTTTCTGACTTTTCATTATGTAGTAGGGTTATTAGTTAGTCTGCGACTTACAATTTCATTTGCAATTTTAGTTTGTAACTATTTGTGTGATTATTGAATAAAGTGTTAATTCAATGTCTTCCAAGCCAGTCAGTCCTAACGGATCTATTTGTGTATTTCCAGGCTAAGCTCCTTTTCTGGTTCCTGGTCTGCACCTACATTGGAGTACTTATGCTTCTCAGAGGTTGCGATAACATCAGAACCATTTTCATCAGAGGTTTGATATATTTTTTTCATTATACCGAAAATATTATTTCCTTTTAAAGGAAGACTGTAAAAAAATAATTTTGAACTTTTATAGCTATAACATGTACAGTAGCTTTGTTTAAAATGGAAGATAGGTTGAATTGTGAAAAATAAGGATAATAATGATGAATTGAATTTTTTTTCTATTTCTATAGGTACAACGATAGTATTGGTTTTAACATGAAGAATAATATACAGGTATTTGTTCACACTGTAGGTAGATACATCCCGCCCATATGTCGACCAGTGGTCAGTTTCATCAACAGTTGGCTACAGAGGCTGTGGCTCGTCTCACGCATCTCCTCACTCTTCTATCCATTGGTCAGCTTCGCACTTTACATCGGCATAGGTAAGCTAGAACCGACTTCCGTCTATCCATTGGTAAGTATTATGATTTAAAGCTCACCTGGTCCGAAGGACCATGGTGAGCTTATGCCATACTGCAGCGTCCGTTGTCCGTCGTCCATCTGTCCTTCCACTTTTTCTTTAAAACGCTACTAGTCCTGAACGGCCAAGTAGATTTTGATTAAATTTTATCAGGAGCATCCTTAGGCCAGGGGGACTCAATTTTGCATAAACAGGGTGTGTTGCCCGCTGGGGGCAGAGGGGCGGGCCCAATAAGGAAATATAGATAAAACCTTTAAAATCCTTCTACCGTAGGGATTAAGGGATTTTATTCTAATTTAGTCTGGAGCATCCTTGGGCAAAGGGGACTCAATTTTGTATAAATGGTGGGTGTGGCCTCCCATGGGGCAGAGGGATGGGGCCGAATAGGAGAATAGAGGTAAAACCTTCAAAATCCTTCTCCTACCATAGGGATCAAGGGATTTCATCCCAATTTGGGAAAAGGGACTTAATTTTGTATAAACAGTGAGTGTGGCCCCCTGGGGGCTGAGGAGCGAGCCCCAATAGGGGAAACATAGCAAGTTCTTCAAAACCCTTCTTCTGTAGGAATGACTGGATTTTATTTAAATTTTGGATGAAGCACCCTTGAGTGAAGGGGAACCAATTTTGTATAAACGGTAGGTCTGACCCCCCTTTTAGCAGAGAGGCAGGGCCAAAGAGGAAAAATAGCTTTTAAATCTTTCTTCTTTAGGAGTGACAGGATTATGTCCATATTTGGTCTAAAGCATCTTTGGGTGAAGGGGACCTAATTTTGTCTCAACGATGGGTCTGACCCCCCTGGGGACAAAGGGGCGGGCCTCAATATGGGAAACATAGCAAATTCCCTCAGAATCCTTCTTTTATCTTAGGAATGACAAGATTTTTTCCAATTGCATATAAATATAACCCTGACTAACCATGTAATACATGTACACTTCCAGTAACATTATGCTATTCTAACTTCAATTTTGCTAACATTTCCAAGTGAGTGATACAGGCCCTCTGGGCCTCTTGTTTGTAACTTTGTCTGTTGACCATTTCATGTCAATATGATATGATATCATACTCTCGGCAACAAAAGTTTTTTTGGGCAGATGGGGAGGAAGGAGGATGGATGCAGATAAAATCCTCTGTGCATTAATTGATCAAAACTACGGTAGTAAAAACAGCTCTTCATAAACTATTGAATCGATTTCAGTAAAACGTTATGCACATAATAAATACACCTAGTTCTGTTGGTCCAAATTTGTTGAAAATTTGAAGGAGTAATACACAGAGGACTTACTTAAAGGGGCTGGTCGGGGAAAAATGTCATATTTGCTAAAATGGCATACACATGTTTAAAATACATTCTTATGAAATATACCGATTCAAATTTTGCTGAAATTCACTCCCTAAGAGTAAAAATTAAAATTATATTAAAGAATCCTAAATCGTCACCTGACAGTCTAAAACTCTCAATTGACCCAGATCAGTGATGTAATTTTACCGCACGGGCGTCATCAACAAGGCCAAATGTAAACATCGCTGCGAAATTTACGCGGGGCTTCCCCGAGATTTCATTGGTCAAAACTGGACAATGCAAGCAGAACTCGACCATCATATTGTCATGGTATAACTTTTGGAAGGCCAGAGAACTCATTTAGACCCATTTATTTTGTATTTTTTTCCCCGACCAGCCCCTTTAACTGAAATTAGACTTTTTAGTTTTTGGATTTAGGATGGTAACTGTGACCTCTGATTTGCAAAGACCATTGTAGTTACATCTCAAGTTTTATTGGACTGACTTAATTGATAATTTATGAGATTGACACGCAAGTGGTATAAACTCATGTTGAACAAACTTTTAAGTTTTGAAACTGAAGATGGCTGCTTTGCTGCCTTGCTGGGATAGTTCGGGGGATATTTGTGAAAGTCTGTTAAAGCTAGAAACTTTTGTGATGTATAATAATGTCCTTGCCTCTTTACAGGTCCCTGGTTTGTGGCTGAAATACTGGAAGGTCACTTTGGAGTGGTGTTCATCTGGGGTTTGTACGTGAAAGGATCATTCATTCCAGGCTCGTTAGCCTACCTGTATGGTATATTTCAGGTAAGTTATGGACATGTTTGAGCTTTCTTGTGCTGCAGGCAAAACTTTGATGTCATCCTAAAATTACCACAATCTTGGATAGTAGATTAGTATTACCAGTCAGTTCAGAAGTAAAAGGATTTTTTTTTAATTGAATAAATACATGAATCATAAAGCTTTATCGTGAATGCATTTGATGCAAAAAAAATATTTTGTCACCAATATTTGTTTTTATTAATGTGATAACAGCCCCTTTATTAAGCTACTATTGTACAGGCATATTTTAGATCATAGCCTTCAATTTGTTTCCTTCCTTTTAAATGTGATTTTCCTCACTCCAGATTGTGACCTTCAACTTGTGTTTTCTTACCTACTTCAGATTGTAGCATTCAACGTTCCCATGTTGCTGTTTCTCGGGTACATGATTCAGTTCCTGCAGGAGGAAAGCCAAGGAAGGAGGTCCAGCAAAGACAGACTATGTTGTATTTATGTTCCTCTGTCGGCCGTGTTAGTGCTATCCTGCTATATCGCCATGGTGGAATTCCCTATTGCCTATGGGAGTTCTGCCATGATTATGGGACCTGTAAGGACCGGAGCAATCCTTCTACTGATCATATTGGTCTTCCAAGCCAAGAAGCATGCTTTATCAAATCAGAACAGTTAATGTTGCTGACGTTTAGCCAACAATTCTTGTTTATTAGTTTTTGTTGAAGATTATGTTCACACATGTATTATGTGGTATTAAGTTGGTGTATCGTTTTGAAATCACCAAACTTCAGTGACCTTTAACAACTTATAGACCATTCGTCAGTTTTCATTTGAAGACAAATTTATCAAATTAATCTATTTTGGTACATTATTGCTTTAGTAATGTTCATCTGTTTTATTTACACATGTAGTGTGATAGTATTTTGAAATTTATAACTTATTTTGAAGAAAAGACATTGTGATGATTTTTTTATTTAAAGTTATACCAGTGAACTTTTACAGCAGTTATATTTTTTTATGTTTTATTTTCTGCTGATTATTTATCAACAACTAGATATCATACTTGGAGACATGTGATTTTATTTGTTATGTCTAGTCTCTATTGACATTCCTAGTGAGATAAGAACTACAATCATTATACTGTAGACCAAAATGAATTATATATACTAATACACATGTTCATTATTATGGGTTTTGTAAATGACAATATCACAACCTAAAATCAGCTTTTTTAATCAGTTTGGGAACTTGTCTTTCACTTTGATCATAAAATTTTCAAATTAGAACTTACGCTACTGTTTTTTTAAACTGACCACAATGTAAGGGTGTTCTGTAACAATCCCTCACTGTTAATTATCTTCGAAGACTGAGTTTGTTTTGTCCATAGTCACACCGTATAAAATATACAGTGATTATATATCTAGGATTACTAATTGCTCAAGGTAATGATAGTTGATTATCATTTTATCTAACTTATTAAAGTTATTTTACTATTGAAAATATTCTTAAAATAATTTGAAACTTCTGTAATGAGAGTTTATCATGATGAACATAATAACCCCATCTAGGTAATAATATAGATATGTCCAAAAAGCATCTTTACTGTAAACTTCAGTTCGCTATTCAGTATGAAATCACTCGAGATCAAGATGTTACGAAGTGCTACAGTGTCTACATGAAGGTTCATGCCTTGTAAAGGCTTCAGTAAAACAGTTATGAAACCATTCCATGATACTTTAGTTGTTACTGTTAAAACTGAACTTTGAATTTATTATATTTTGCATGAAAACAACTACATGTAAATCAATATGATAAAACTGAATATTCTTTTCAAATTTGCAAATTTTCAATGTAGAAAATAGCATGCGACAATAGCTGTTCTCATCATATGTGCCATTCTAGATATTGACCTGGGGCCTTTTCGTTTAAGCGGAACAACCGGTTTGATCGTTTATAAATGTAAAAATTTTGGGTATAAATCCTGGCGGACCTGCAAATGTTTATGTAAGTCTTGCAAGGCTTTGTCGAGGCTCGCCTGAAAGCAGCATCAGACTACTAGGTCTGACCTTATTTAATAAAGAAACAACTGTGGTCCAACCGGTTTGACCGTTTATACGAATACAGCCTCGATTTGACAATAAAAAGCAGGAAATTTGATTTCGGAAGAAAATAAATTATTTGCAATTTTTTTTTCTGGTTTTACTTCGCCTGTTAAATTATCTAATGCTTGCTCAAGAGTGAGAATTTGTGTGACAAATGGAGGTTCCAAAATGAATGACTGTTGCTTTCTTCAATTTTAAAACTTAAAAGAAAATGTGATCTTCAGGCAATTATTTCTTATTTAATTTAAAAATTAAATGGAGAAATTTGAATAAACATGCTAAAATTGTCACAAACGTGGAATTTCTTATTACATGTACCAGATTGTTTTCATTACTGCTCAATTCTTTACCAATCTTTTTTATTTTTAAAATACTTCTTGTACAATACATGTACAAACATGTATTGTAGTATTACATTGTGGATGAATATCCAAATAGAGGACATACAAAATACATGCAACATGTAATTAGATCCAAAAGATTATGTAGAGGTTGTTGATGAAGGTCACAGGTCAAACCAAGGTAACAATCAGGAATTCATCGTTGGATAATTGGGCTTTATTAAGATCATTGATTAAATCCTTTATTTTATATCTATTTTTTTACTTGATACCTCATTTTCAGAATTTAATCGCTTATATATATATATATATATATATATATATATATGTCTGGGTCAAAGAAGTAATATAGACGGTAAAATCCCATATAACACTGTATGTAAAGGTATGGGTCAGCTTAATTGCTGCCTTCGGCTGTCTTTAGCCGAGGGGACTATTGGTTTTATATTATAGCTATATTTTCAATTATAGTACGTGTATATCAATTCTATCTTCTTGTAATATGATGTATATGTACATGTAACTGTTCTGTTTCACTGTGTCTTGAAAAAGGAGCAGATCGCTCCGAAAATTTGACAACCTAAACTTGTCCACACTGTTGGAGTTACTTCTTTGCCCCATATATATATATGTCATCATACACATTGTAGTTTTTATGATTCAGTTAATGAAGTTGGTTCGATGTTCAATTTCTCCATAACCAAACTACAACTACAATGTGCAACATTATATACGGAATCAAATATGCCAAGTTTACGAAATATCAAAGTGCTTCTTTATACACAAGGCAGGTATGTATTAAACATGTTACAATGTTTCAAGACTGACTTGTCCCTTTGTCAAGCTATTACTAACTACAGACTAGTTTGAAAAAGGGACCAGTCTGTCTTGAAATGTTGACATGTTTAATATGTACATTGTTTGCATATAAAATAACACTTTGATATAACATATTTCCAAACTGATGAAACTTATTGAAGATGTTAATTTTTTAAATTTCCTTAGGTGAAGGAAAGTTAATAAAACGCGAGCCAGTGCAAAAATATAGCTTTGGGTTATATAGTTATACATGTATAACCCATAGTGATAATTTTGCACTGGCTAAACTAGGATGATATAACAACTGGTACACCCAGTGATGTACTGTGATATCTACATGTCATTGAACTTTGTTATTCATTTAAATACTCTGTATATTTTGAGGTCAACATTTGGTCACCTCGTAGGTGATTGCTATGTAATTTTACTCAGACTTGCATGTTGAATACCCAGTTTGTCTGGGAAGTTTTCATGAAATCTTGCTCGTACATGTAGTTGGAAATACCGTATACTGGGAAATATTTGCTGCATTTTAACTTTTGCTTATTTCATACTCCCTTAGATGGATAAATTTATCAAGACAGTAAATTTTAGCACACTGCATGCCATATATATGATAATTATGTGAAGGGCAATTTACAGGAGGAGAACAAAACTTTGGTTGGACAATTGTCCCAATATACAGTAGGACCTGGACACTGGTATATACATTAACTGAAGAACAGTAGGGGATGGGGTTTGCAACCATGCAAAGGACAGGGTGTGAAAAGGGTTATTTGGAAATATGGTTTGAACTTTATGTAATTTGTGATGGATATCAACCATATTATTTTTTGGTGGCATCCTCAGGTAGTCATGATTTGAAACTGTAAATATGGAGGGGCTAACCCCCAAAGGGGACTAAGGGATAGAGCCAAAAATGGTTGTTTGGTCATATAGTATTGCTGGCCAATTATCATGCTATCAAGATTTGGCCTCAATCCCAGGATTCAGTCCTTGGATCTTAACTTAGAGATGGTTAAGATCCTCACCCTATAATTATATAATGTTTGGTCAGTATAAGAGAAGACTACAATCATGCAATTGGCCTTGGGGTATGACTTTGCCTGTGTTGGCTTGGTCCCTGAGTTCTAACATGGAAGCAGTCAGTATCCCCACCTTAAAACCATATTATGTACTAGCTGAACATGAAGAGAAGAACATCATCATGCTACCAGCATTAGCTCTGGTATCTGGCCCATCTCTTGGAGATTCATTTCCAATATTACTTAAAATTAAAATTTTCCCCATGATTCCATAAATATCAAGATAAGTAATACAGGCCCTCAATGCATCTTATTTTTCACAGGTTTTACAACATTTTACATCATTTTAATTTACATTTTTAACAATGCCAGTTGTATGTGTGTGAAATTGTCTTGCTGCATATTTAATATTTATGTGATGTGAAATTAATGTGTTCAAATAAAATTTGACATTTCGACTCAAGATAGGTATTGAGAGTTTTATTTTTCAAAAATTTGTATCTAACCTTTTACAGTCACAAATTACACGGAATCCTATTAAGATTGCATGGTATCGATCACTATCTACATTTATAAATTCAGATACAAAATAGTTTCAAACAGATCGGTCGAAAAATGTAGGAGGAGATTGCCGGACAAACAAAAGTTTACGCCGGACAGACGGACAACCCCATACCATAATGCTTCTTTCAAATTTGACGGTGTATAAAAATGACAAAACCAGCCAAATGCTTTTAGAGTTTTTTCTGAGACGAACCAGCAAGTTTAACAGAAATATGAAGGATCTATAAAAATCAGGTAAATATTTCTTTCTCAAAAGTTTAGACACAAATTAATGATTATTTTTTTTAAATCGGTCTTTAATTTGTAACTAATAGTTGACTATCTTCTTTAAAAAAAATATGGGACAACCCGATTAAATTAAATAAAAAGGAGACCGTCAGTTATTTCAGACTTGTCTAGAATATATGATTTTCTGTCACTGATAGTTGATTTATGCCTCTAAAACGTTTAACAACAGTTCCTTACTGTCATAAATGGTAGAAACTAATTCAAATTTACTGGTTGTTGCCGAAAAAAAATCTACTTTCGTTTTGTAAAAAATCCGTCGTCTGCTAAACCACGTGCTCAAGATTGTAAACAATGGAACTCTTTTCTCTCGAGAAGATACGAAAGTGTATCTGCCAAAATGATGGAAACGGAGGATTCAGACCTGAGAAAGCTGTTAAAGGAGAAGGATGATGAAATAGAAAGACTAAAGAAGCTCCTGACTATAAAGGTGTTTTATGACGTAACTGCTCTTCATTTTACCGTCATTGGAAATTCTGAAGGTTTCTCATCACCACGTGCACAGTAACCGTATCCGCGTCGTACGTAACGCATCCTTCAGCTGTTCGGTATCGCGACCGGTAACAAGTCTGCTTGCTGTTGATTATTTTTAGCGGTCGTCGTTTCGGTACTTGTTTTAACACTTTTTGGTACATCCTTACAGTTGTTTCGATATTTTATGTGATTTTTGACACATTGACTTACTTTGAAGTTCGTATTGTGCTCATCTATATTTTGAGATTATAAAGTACCAAAACATCCTATAAATGTTGCTTCTGACAACTAGATGATTTTTACATATTATAACGGTGTTTCTGAGAGGATGACACGAATGAGTGATAATGGCGCAATAAAACATCATGTCACCAACACACACACAAGAGACTGTGCCTCGGTAACCGTGATCACTAATTATATAATAACATGCACAGTCATTACTACTGTGTGCAATCAAGCATTAGCTTCAGACCACTCACTCTCCCAAGAATTTCGGTTTGATCCTCAGCAGTGGCGGAAAAAAAAGAGAGAGATGTCTGATAGGGTTATAGGTTATCCCTCTGATGGCATGTGGGTTTAAATTTCCTCCATCACAAAAAAAAACAATTGGTCCCTTATAATTAGCGGCGTCCTAATAAAAACTCTACTGAGCTTATGTTTGTTGTTGACAATGTACACCAACATTAGATAAAGATAATATATTAATATATATAAGTTTCCCAATCATATTTCCCTTATGCGGAGTCTCTAGAAATGTTGACAAGAGTTTAACCACAACTTGGTTCAGAAAGATGGAAGCAGACAACAATAATAGCACATCAACCTGATAATCTCTACTATTGTGTTATTGTTTTTGATTTATTTGATTTATTTATTTCAGCATAATGAATTGTTTATTGCCCTTACTGTTGTCAACACAATTCTTCGTTTCTCCTCAATTAATCCAGTTTCACAAGGAACTGTAAAAAATATATAGTATCATGTTGTTGGCAGAGGAGGCTGGCTATTAATTAATATAAGTACAAATGTACTACTTTCGCTCAAGCAAGGAAGGTCAATAAGTGCAGGTTCTGTCCCTAGACCAGAGACAAACCAAGGGCCTTAAAATTGCATGGGTGGTACTTGCTGCTCTATGCTTAACAATCAGCTTTAAATGGTGAGCAGCAAGGACGGATTTACCTGTTGTCAGTATGATGTGACAGAGTGGAATAACACTGAACTGCTTCCAGGTTACAATGGTTATGGAAAGGCAGGAATTTCTGTGGACTGTAAGTCTTAGAGGATCTGTTTCATTCAGCTACTGATTGATGTCCCCATTTTTGTTGAGTCTGCCTGCCAGATCATCCGAGATGTTATGACTCAAACCTTAACAATCCTGTATACAAGTGTGACCCTAGTTTTGGCTCTTTTTACTGTTAATGATTCCCATTCCATCCAGATAGTCATGTCACAGGAATTGCAGTCTTTCACGAGAATCTTGCAGCTTGTCACTGTACTTTCCATATCCATATATTTACATTCTGTATGCTTGGACCCATCAGGGACAGTATATATACGTCTCTGGACCCATTGACGAAAATGACATTCATTCATCACACAGGAGACCTTATCACTGCGTATTGATACACAAAATTGATGTAGCACAAGGCGTGCTTGGTTCATATCTGCCGTGGAATGGCTAGCCCTCAATGTAGTTTTGTTATGCTAATATGAATTAGTATTAAACATGATTGACTTGATTTTGAAGCTTAAATAAGGTGTGTAAAGTACATGATAATAACATACCACTTGTATAAATTCTACAAATTCAATTTGAAAAAGTAACTATATTTTGCTTGTTTTGTTGTCATACAGGTTGCTAGGACCACCAACAGAATTTTTTATATTTTACCTCGAAAACAAGCTGTTCTCTCTACTGCGTTGCCCCCATGTATAAATAGAAAACAATACCTGTATTTCTTTCATTTATGCTTGCATCAGAATATTCAAAGCACTTAAAAAAGTAAATATAAGGAATGAAACTATTTTTTCAACATTCATAAGGTCACAACAACATTGGCTTTCTGGACATATTTACCATGAATGGGTTGAATATGTCCAGAAAGCCAATGGTGTTATGACCTCATAAATGTTGAAAAAATAAATTTCATTCCTTTAATAATTGGTAGGGGTCCCATATTGTTCCAGCATATTCAATAGTAGGAGTGGTTGTTAATGTTTTGCTCTTAGGTCATCCTGACAGGCCTTTATATTAGTTTTTAGTTCCAAGAAATACCTGTTGAAGCCTGTATGTTAGGATTGGGTTTGATTGTACACGTATAGGGTTTAATGTCCTATCATCAGCTAAGGGTAGGTCATTCAAGGAAGTGCCTCCATGTGTGTATGTGTGTATGTGTGTTGGAGGCAGGGTATGTTGGTGTAATTGCCTCCTTACACTAGGGTGGATCTGATGCTGACGTTATAGTGCCATCTCACAGAAATACCATGACAAAGGCACCAAGCATAGCATTCTGCCCAGTCACATTATACTGACAAGGGGTGAACCAGTTGATGCTATTTTCCTTATTGCTGAATGCTTAGTAGGAATAACAAATACCATTTTTAAGGACTTTGGTATGTCCATTGCCTTCCTCACCTGGGTGAACATTCAACATTAAAGCCAAAAGTGAAGTGTCGCCAAGCAAGGCACTAGGAAAAAAAGGTAGTTAGAAGTAGAGAGAAATATATAGATCCCAAATATTGCAGTGCATGCAAGTTGCTTATAACGGGCAGATGAAAGAGTACCAGTATATATAGGGTATTTCGGGTAGGGGGCAAAAAATGTAATTGTGAATGATGTATACAAACATACCTGCTAATAAAGTTGGATAACAAAGTTTTCCAAAGTTGCTATTTGTTCAGACTAAGATACCTGTTTAAGTAATTAGGTTAATATTAGACTGTTTTACTTTTGAGATTTAGATCAACTGTAATTAAATTACCCTGTTAGATCTAGAGAAAAAAAGACAGCTTTCTGTCAGAATCTATGAATATCTTACCAAAAGTTAAGCATCTAGATGAAATGTGAGAAGAGATGCTTGCAATTTACTATAAATACAAAACTAAATACAAAACTAAGTTGAAAAAATTGAACTGTGCATAACTTGATTTTATATTATTTTCATATTTAGACACCTGCCGTTGTTGAAGAGAAAGACATTTTTGTACAAAGTGATGATCGACCTGCAGTAAGGGAGAAGCTGAATAATGCAGAGATATCACGTTACAGTCGACAACTCATCTTACCTGAAATAGGTGTCAAAGGTAAAAATATGATAAACCAAGTTATTAACCACATTAAATCAAGGCTAAAAACTAATTTGAAAAACTACTAGTCAGTCGGACAAGTAGTTTCCAATTTCACTAGTCCTTATGCAAATTCTGCAAACCCAAAATTATTCAAAATGACAAGAAATATTAAATATTGAGTGGTCAGTCGGGTCGGTAAATACTGCACAACATGACAAGTAGTAGATTTTAGAAGCACTGTTTCAGTCAGTGGGACAAGTAGTTTCCAATTTCACTAGTCCTTATGCAAATACTGCAAACTCAAAATTATTCAACATGACAAGTAATATTAGATATTGAGTGGTCTAACGGGCCAGTAGATTTTAGAATCACTGTTCCAGTTGGATATGTACCCTTATTGTCTAGCCCTAACATTGTGTAATATTTTGCAGGTCAGTTGTCAATCAGCTCAGCGTCTGTGTTGGTTGTTGGTGCTGGTGGACTGGGATGTCCATCCAGTATTTACCTAGCCGCAGCTGGAATAGGTCAGTAACATTGGTGGGTCTTCACCAATTATACTTTTACTGCTCAATTTAACAGTGAATTCTTAAACATGCTTAGTACACATACAAAATTGAAAATTTATTCTAGTAAAGAAGTCATATTTGTGTCACCTGGTAAAGAATAATTTCAAATTATCTCTTTTTAACTTGTCTATAATATCTGCTGGGATTAATAGTACACAGGTTTTAATGTACATGAAAATCAGTTTAAGCAATGAAAGCATTTAATGCTGAAAAAAATACCTGGCTTTTAAAGCAGTTTATAGGCAGAGTATATAGATAAAATACGAAAATTCCCATGATGTTGAATATTCAAACACTTGAAACCTGTAGAATGGTAGAATTGGTGTTTAGGTAAATCAGAGAGCTTTACTTGGTTATTGCACTATGAGCAAAGGTATATGTCACTGTTATTAGTTTTCCAACTGTCAGTAAATTTAATTTCGTTTTTGCTCAATAAATCAATGTATTACCTTCCTTTAGACCGGGTGTACCCCTTGTTTTGAAAAAAATCATGAACAATTTACACGATTTAAAAAATTGTCACAAATTAAACAAAAGATAATGTGAACAACCGGCCATTCTTTTCAAACCCTTTTGAAATGTTTTCAGGGAGGATAGGGTTGGTGGACTATGATGAGGTAGAGTTGACTAACCTCCACAGACAGATCCTACACACAGAGGCTAAAGTTGGTGTCACCAAATCAGCCTCAGCAGCACATGCTTGTAAAAGGTGAGCAATTTTAGCCTACTTACACATATATGTACTTGAAAACATCTGTTTACCGTCTGAATGTCTGAGGCCTACTTCTGTCTCCTTTAATTCATAGCAAAGATGTACCAAAACAAACGATTTATTTGACCTTTTGCTTCATTTGTATCTGAACTGAAAATCTGTAGCTTTGAATGAAGTGAATATAAAGTACCATTCTGATTGGTCAATTCCAAAAGTGATATTTTTTATATCACTTTTGATATCTGTCACATTGTGAAAGATATTGTTATTATCAGGTTGATAGCTAGAGTTCAATACTTCACTTGCAAAAATGTAATAAACATAAAACACATGGTTCTGCGTGCCACAAACAGTTTAATCATCATTATTCCTAGTCCTTGATTAAATATGGTTCATATGATCATGTATTTATTTTTAATCTATTAGCTAAATTAATTGTATTTCTGGTTACCTTTCAGCTTAAATTCACATGTGGAATGTATTCCTTACCACCTGCAGCTAAACAGTTCTAACGCCTTACAACTTATAAAACAGTATCCTTGTATAACGTACTGGCTGTCAGGTCTACAAATTATTTAACAGCAGTTAAGGTTTAAAGTGGATATTAAGTTATACAAGAGTCAATCTCCAGGACCACTTGGATACTTCCAAATGCTTAATGTGTCATTTTAGTAGCTACACTATTCATTGATTGTATAAAGCCCCTCTTTAAAAATGTAGAAAGTTCTGAAACAAGGTAACCAAAGGGATGTTATGAAAGTTCATTTAAAATTGCCATATTCTACTCAATATCCATAGCAATAATCAGATAATTGAGCATCTGAGACACATATTCTCCTTCAAAATGTCTTATTCAGTATTCTTCCAGTATTTCACTGATAATCTTATTCTGAATTCAGATTTGTTGCAACCCTGCACATGATGTAGTGCAAAATCAAGTTTAAACAGTTCTACTAAAAAGCAGCGACAAGAATCACTGTTTAAAGACAAGCTGAGTTAGAAGATTTTGTTTTGAGTTTTGGATTGGCATATTACCAAACATCTTGGATTTTCCCTTCATTAATTGCCTTAGATATGATATTGTGCTGGATGCCACAGATAATGTAGCCACCAGGTATCTCCTCAATGATGCCTGTATCCTAGCCAACAAGCCACTCGTCTCGGGCAGTGCTCTCAGGTTTGAGGGACAAGTAAGTCATTGCTTGTTCTTGTTATGAAGTACTAGCTAGATTGCCTGTATAAAAGATCAAGTGTCTCAACATTGCCTGCCTATAAAGACCAACTGTCACTTACAATTGATAGTATATGAGTGAAGGGGTCACAATATATAATAATAATAATAATATACAGCATTTATATAGCGCCCTATATAATTTGTAAAATTACTCTAAGGCGCTTTACAACATATGGATAATAGTAATGGCTATAATTGTGAAAACAAACAACAATGGCTTGCAATCACTTTCATACATTTAACAAGCATTATGCACATAATTGAACAAATAAAAGGGTGGTATTTACATGATGTCTTTGAAAAGATTCTAAAATGCAGACGTGAAGAGGTGAGTTTTTATGTCCCTCTTGAACTTGGCCAGGGTATTCGACTTCCTAATAGCAGATGGTAAGCTATTCCACAACGTAGCCGAAACCCTCCCAAAGCATCTGTTTCCGTAGGTCACAGTACGAGATTTTGGGACACACAGCAAAGATTCTGACTCCGACCGCAGTGATCTTGACGGCTGATACAGGGTAACAAGTTCCTGTAGGTACTGAGGAGCCGTTCCATTCAGTGCCTTGTATGTGTATACCAGAATTTTGTACTGCGACCTGTATCGTACAGGTAACCAATGCAACGAATAAAGCGCAGGTGTGATGTGCTCTCTCTTTTGAGTACGAGTAACTAGTCGTGCTGCAGTGTTCTGAACCCTCTGCAGACGACTAGTTAGTTTGTCAGATATACCACAGAGCAGGGCATTACCATAATAATGAGTGAGGTCACATAAAAGGGCCTTCCCGTTAGCAGATGTCTTTTTCTGGAAAAATCTGAGGCACCAGATATCTCTTTCTGGGAAAGTTCTAAGCATCAGATATCTCTTTCTGGAAAAGCCCTACACATCAGATATCTCTTTCTGGAAAAGCCCTGCACATCAGATATCTCTTTCTGGAAAAGCCCGACACATCAGATATCTCTTTCTGGGAAAGTTCTAAGCATCAGATATCTCTTTCTGGAAAAGCCCTGCACATCAGATATCTCTTTCTGGAAAAGACCTACACATCAGATATCTCTTTCTGGGAAAGTCCTAAGCATCAGATATTTCTTTCTGGGAAAGTCCTAAGCATCAGATATTTCTTTCTGGGAAAGTCCTAAGCATCAGATATCTCTTTCTGGGAAAGTTCTAAGCATCATATATCTCTTTCTGGAAAAGCCCTACACATCAGATATCTCTTTCTGGGAAAGTCCTAAGCATCAGATATCTCTTTCTGGGAAAGTCCTAAGCATCAAATATCTCTTTCTGGAAAAGCCCTAAGCATCAGATATCTCTTTCTGGAAAAGCCCTAAGCATCAGATATCTCTCCTGCGAAAGCCCTTACATTAAATACATATGTAGTGATTATAACAATATAAAAACATCTTAATCTTAGGCATTCTGCTATATATATATGTCCTAAACCAGTAAATACTAGGTAGAAAATGGTTGTTATCAACATTGAAGGGAGGAGATTAGAATCAAAGAAGAGTGAAAAGAATAGAAAGAGAGATAAAGTGTTCCACCTAACATGACGTTTTAGGACATGTGCTTAGTACATGTATTTGGATACAGCAGGCCTATTCCAACCTGTTTACACCCAAACATGCAGGAGATTGTTTCTGTCTTCAGTCAAGTTTTTGAAGTAAATAACTTTATTAATTGATTCATAATTGTTTTAACTGTGAACTATAGTGTCTAACTTATTGATCAATTGAACACAATCTGTTTGGTACAACACACCCTTGTGATGATCTATAGAGGATTCGATACATTGTCTGTTGTTAATCAGCTTACAGTGTACAACTACGACGGCGGTCCCTGCTACAGATGTCTATACCCCAAACCTCCGCCTCCAGAGACTGTCACTAACTGTTCTGATGGGGGGGTCCTGGGAGTCGGTAAGAGGGAACGTTTTGTGTATCAATTCAACATTTTTCTTAATCTAGTAACCTAAAGTGTAGATACAAGTCTATTTTGATCTTTTAAAATTAAAGAGTAATTGTTTTTATTTTTGAATAATTTAAACTGATTTCTAGTACTTTATAGTAAAAATCTTATATTGTTTCACACACTAATAAATGTTTGAACCTGCTCAATGAGACTAAAAAAAGAATCAAAATAGTAAATAAATTGTTCATCCGTTTTACTTTGCATTGTAGTGCCTGGGACTATTGGCTGTTTACAGGCCTTGGAGGCTATCAAAATAGCCGCTGGTATTGGGCGTATCCTTTGTCTTCAGTGTAGTGTTGTAATACATGTGACTGATGGCTTACATTCATGAAAGATTTACTTTTGCCAATTCATTCCTGGGAGTTCTAATTGTATGCCACATGTGAAATCTACTCCTTTTGAGTTTTCTGGAATTACATCTCTGAGTAACCAAAGCTTAGCACCCTCTAGTCCTGATTACCATCAAATGTTTATGCAGAGTACAAATGAAAGTTACAAAAATCATTTAGGTTTTAAGTGTTTTAATATGGTACACATACGTATGTAGTGCCAAAATATCCAGTCTCACTTTGATGTTATTTGTTTTAATCAACTTACTTCCTTACTTACCGTTATATTGATGATGTTAGTGGTTACTTAGTCAATGATGTTGTTGTGTGTGATGTAAAACTAACGTAACACACAATGGTAATGACAATGATAATGTGCAGACAACATCGATCTCTTGACTTTACTTGGAAATATAATCAACTGGCTACAATTTCAGAGATTCTGTTGAACATTGTATACTAGTGGTAACTAACAAGGAAAGTTTACCCGTCACCAATAGAATTCTAGTGTTAATTTTGCCCTTCCCAGTAGAACTTCTTAGTATTAGCTTTAAATGATATATTGGTCATCCTTGTAAGTTACCACCCTCATTATGGAAAGCGACAAGGGCACAAGTTAAAACTGTGATTGATATTTCCTAGTATTCCATGGTTTATTTGTATACACTGTAATTATGCGATAACTTTGCCTTGACAAAACCAAGCTTCATTCTCACAAGTGATGCTTATGTTTGACGGCCTGGATGGTACATTTAGAAGGATAAAGCTCAGGGGGAGACAACCTTCATGTCCATTGTGTGGCACCCAACCTTCGATAACACAGTTGATCGACTATGAACAGTTTTGTGGGGCCAGGGCGGATGACAAGGTATATTAAAGAATTTGAGACATGTACTTTGTTGAGGGAATTCCATTAATTGGTATATGTACATCTTCATTTAAATGGTTGGATTATTACTTCACTTTCTTGTAAGAATGATCCTGATTCAACCATTTAGGAATGGGGAGGGGTAACCTAGTGCAGTTGAGAGGATCAATTTTGAAGAAACAAACGGAGATCACAAGAAATGTGCTAAGAATGCCCATTACAACTTTAAATGGTATAATGCTAGATGTATCCAGATAAGTTTTCATGAGTATCAACATCTTTTGTTATTTACATTTTTTGGCAATTCTCATAAAAGTGACTGATTTGAAGAACAATTTCTAACACATTGACGATTTTCATGCAGAGCAAACCAAGAAGCTGAAATGATAAAAGTATCACAGAAACTTAAATCTTAAAAAATATCAAACTCTTTTCAAACTGGTCTTTAAACTGGAAATGAGCAGATCAATTTAAATGTCAAAGATGTATGTTGTAGCATTTGTGGACTTGGATCATATTTCTCAACAAATTGATTTTTATAAAAATAACAAAATTGCTGTTTCGAGCACTATAGAAATACATTTGATCTTTTATGATATCTTATGTTATTCTTCAATATCTGTGTGATTTATTTATATACACAACTTAATTGAATAGATGCATGCACCAGTTAAATGAGTTTGAGTGATATACATTACCTGAAATGTTTGTCCCTTCAACAACTTACGAACTATGTCACATTATCTCCTAAACTTATTATATAATATTGTAGAGTGTGTATCTGTACATTTCAGCTTTCAGAAAAATATTACTTATTAATTTAGTTAAATTTGATATTTGTTGTACTGCATGAGAAGTGTTGGACTAAATGTAAGTAATGTTTCTGTAGCAGTAACCCACCAGACTGTCGACACTGCTGGTTATGTTCCTACTTACTTACATGTCACTCTCTACTTTGAACAGGACAAGTGTTTGAAGGTGTTAGACCCTGCACACAGAATCACAGTACATGTAAGTTTTCTCTATATATCTGCATGATTGTTTAATGTATATTTTGTTGTGTTAAAAGGAATATTCAATGGACCGGTTCGACAGTGCAATTATCAAGAGTAGTTTTCCCATTAAGCTAAGCATCTTCACTTCCGGGAAAAACAGGAAACAATCCATGTATAGCTAGCTATATTAGTGTAACCTAGTATACATGACCATTATCATACTAAGTTACAACATCCTAACATTGATGACAACAAGACATGTTACGATGGCATACAATGTTGTAGAAATCAGAACAGGACCCATTGTCCTGCCTGCAATAAACAATAAAAGGAAAAACATATTTTTTTACTTGTGAAATAAGGAGTTTAAGCTAAATTTACTCTATATTTTTTTTTTTAATTTTTGTGGCATTTGTTTGATGTCCTAAGTACAAATTCTAACAAAGATATTTTAATAAATGATACAATTATAAATGATATAATCATACACATATTTATCAAACTGATTGTTTGAGATAGATCCTTTTCTTTTTCTGCATAATAATTAAAGCAGACTTTTTTAGCTCACCTGGCACGAATGTGTTTTTTTAATGGAGCCATAATACATATTGTGTGCTGCAAAAATAAAACTGGGATGATTTGACACAAAATTATATAACTGAATGGTTCCAAGGTTGTTGTGCTAAGGGGGGTACCACTAGGGATAAGCTCCTTGACAGAAACCCAAGTTCTGAAGTTAAAGCTGTACAAGGTATTATCAACAGACCATGACACATTGCATCAAATGCCACTGTGATGTTTGGAGACAGGATTAATAGAAATGGTGCCTGTTAATGAGGGTTCACTAGGCAGGTTCAGCACAGGGCAAAGAGATCCACATACAATTACTGCAGGGCCCTTTATCTCCTCCTTCAGAACTAGGGGACATCAGGAAGGAAAGCCACTGGCTAAAAGAACAGAAAAGCCAAAGATTAAGCACCAGTTTCAACATCATTGTTAGGGTATCCAACAAGAAAGTGGAGCTAGAACATCTTTTCCACGAAAACTGCATTGACACTTGATATATTCTGGAAATACACTTGAAGGAGGGAAAGCCCTTTTACGATCAGGCCCGTAGTCATGAAACCCTTCTCATGCTCAAGCATGGGTTCTATCAGGCCGTAGTCATGAAACCCTTCTCATGCTTAAGCATGGGTTCTATCAGGCCCTTAGCCATGAAACCCTTCTCATGCTCAAGCATGTGTTCTATCAAGCCCGTAGTCATGAAACCCTTCTCATGCTTAAGCATGGGTTCTATCAGGCCCTTAGTCATGAAACCCGTCTCATGCTCAAGCATGGGTTCTATCAAGCCGTAGTCATGAAACCCTCCTCATGCTCAAGCATGGGTTCAATCAGGCCGTAGTCATGAAACCCTTCTCATGCTTAAGCATGGGTTCTATCAGGCCCTTAGCCATGAAACCCTTCTCATGCTCAAGCACGGGTTCTATCAGGCCCGTAGTCATGAAACCCTCCTCATGCTCAAGCATGGTTACTATCAGACCCGTAGTCATGAAACCATTCTCATGCTCAAGCATGGGTTCTATCAAGCCGTAGTCATGAAACACTCCTCATGCTCAAGCATGGGATCTATCAGGCCCTTAGTCATGAAACCCGTCTCATGCTCAAGCATGGGTTCTATCAAGCCGTAGTCATGAAACACTCCTCATGCTCAAGCATGGGATCTATCAGGCCCGTAGTCATGAAACCATTCTCATGCTCAAGCATGGGTTCTATCAGGCCCTTAGTCATGAAACCCGTCTCATGCTCAAGCATGGGTTCTATCAAGCCGTAGTCATGAAACACTCCTCATGCTCAAGCATGGGATCTATCAGGCCCTTAGTCATGAAACCCTTCTCATGCTCTAGCATGGGTTCTATCAGGCCGTAGTCATGAAACCCTTCTCATGCTCAAGCATGGTTTCTATGCTCAAACCAGAATTCCTGTAACAGTAGTCTCTTCAATGTTTTTCCAAATCATCGACAAAATCAGATTTTATTATTAATCTATAACGGAAACAAGAAGTTAGACTTGAGCATAAAATCCATGCTCAAGCATGGGCCATGGTGTTCAGGATTGACTGTCAAGGAAGAAAAGAGTGATAATACTGATTAGAAACAACGTAAACACTAAGGGCAGTAAAACTTAGTGGGGATGCTCATTTTTCTCAACGATTTGGAGTACTAGCCCACAGGAAGACTTTTAATAAATGCTACTCGCTCAACCTGTAATTTCATAGTGGATGTCGAAAATGTTCACTACCATAGACATGAATCTGTGTTAAGCTTGAAGAAAACATATTTTACTGAGTCTGGATTTAGCCAGTTTTCATTAACAAGACCATATTAAAAATGTGCATTAATTAGTCCAGATTTGAACTAATCCAGATTACTTAATGTTCAGTTTCACAAGATTAAGGAGATTTCACTGTAAATTGTTGAATATCAAAGACCATGAAGACTTGAGGCAGTTTTCAGTTGTTTTGGGTTTTTATGCTGTCACATCAGTGGTAAATGTCTGAGATCTGGGCTCAGCTTTTCAAAAGGTGATTATCATAATCCCTCTTTATAAGGACATTTTAAAACCTCTAATAATTTGATCAATATACAGGGTAAAAACTTGTAATTTTGCATGTAATCTTACTCTACTTAAATATTGATAAGTGTAAAGTTTAAACTCTGTTAATAGATGTGGTTTGAAGATACACAAAAAATAACATTTGCGCTAACCACCGATTAAGCTAATCATATTTTGAACAAGAGGGCCCTGATTATCATCTCAAGTCATTCTTTAAGCAAAGCCTAAAAATGGCCGTGAATGTCGAGGATCCTGGGGTCAGTACAATTGATGTTGTGGTGCGCCTACCTTCATTGATTTTCTGAGATTGGCAGTGTTTGTGATGGAATCCTGTAGATGTGGGTCTATATATTTGGACATCAAAATCATGTCTAGAATTTCAGATACATGAAGCAAGTCGCAATCAGAATTACTATTTATCAACTCTTGGCTTTAGATGGGTGAATATGTGGCTATATGGACACAAGAAAAGCTATTTTGACCATTGCAAATTTTCTTTTCATGTTTATTTAACAACAATTATAACATAAGGAAAGGCAGAAGTATTTCTGTCAACTCAATGAAGCTCCCAATTTCGCAGGATCTCCATTTATTTGCTTCTAATGATCATGAAGTTGGATAAAGCAGGCCTGTCATTTTCCCTTAATTAAATTAATTGATAGACCAGGAAAAAGGTGTTTATTGACCAATTTTTGTTCAACTGGATATGAAGATAAACTGTTTTCACTTAATTAATACATGCATTTCATATTAAAATTGGTTTTACAAGGAAAATCTCCAATTCCAGTTAAAGCATTATGTCTCTGTACTGTGACCAGTATCTAGATTGAGATATACAGTTTGGCTTACTTGAGTGATGTTATTGATTTCTAATTGACAGGAGTACAACAAGATGCTAGAGACGGGTTCTAATCACATCCTGGTGGATGTCAGAACGGAAGTGGAAATGGACATCTGTCGGTTACCTCATCAGCCTATCAGTATCCTTCTCTGATAATCTCCATATACTCTTTGTTTGTCAATATATATCGCATGCCAGATAAGGCAGCAGTCATTTTGAGGTGAAGGATAGCATGGCCTCGGTCTTAACTGCGAAATACAATGCATTAAATAGCTGAGTATATTATCTTTCAAATTCAGGTGAATCAACAAATTCCTTTAGTTTCCTCCACTTAAGTGTTCCTTAGAAGATGTGTACCATATGCATGAAATATTTGTAAAAAAAATAGTGAGAGACAAGAGCTATGTAAAATTTTGTGGATGAAAATTGTTCCACAAATTTAACAAAATGATAAAAACCTAATTAAGACATGATGGTGTATAGATTTTGGTGATTATCAGATAAACTTTTTTGCTACATTTCATGTATTTTTAAACGGTAGGCGATAGACCCACTAATAAGCCATAGTTAATTAAACAATTAGGGATATTTGTGTACATGTCTCATCACCTTCTCTTTACCTCTTATGTCACCTAAGACCATTAAAATTGTGTACTTGTATCAGTACATGTGCACATGAAATTTGTTTGAAATGAGCCAAGGTTTCTACACGTGCATGCAGCCTTTTGTCAGAGAATTATATTTATCAATATTTCATCAAGGTTCCCCCTTAACTTCTTTGGAATTATCTTGGATTAGACAATCACAGATAACTGTTTTATTTCAAATATTACAAGTACAGACATATTTTATTATAGCTACAGAAAGAATAACAGCTACATGCACTATGTATACGTACAAGTACATTGGTATTGATTTTCTGTGCTGTGAAGACATTCTTAACATAATTGATAGTTCTAAGTGATTTTGTAACTATAAAGTGATGGTAATGTGACGACTACTGGTTAAAAGAGTTGTAAAACGATTGACATGCACTTATCTACCTAAATGTCAGGGTTTTACACACAAAACATCACAGATAGTGCAGTATTTCATCCCAAGAACTGATGCTGACTCGCACATTTTATACCGATCAGGTTTTATGGTACTTGACGTGAATTTGATTACCAAGAAAAATCAATAAGGAAAGATTCCAGCGCTTGAAGAGAGATTGAGGTGAGCAAAGTCACCGATATTTGTGTGTGCCATGCGTGGTTTGTTCTTGTGAACAGTGTCAGCAATGTTTTTGTGTGTCAGGCGTGGGTGGTACTTGTATACTTGATGTGTGGAGGTATAGAGTGTCAGCAATATCTGCGTGTGTCAGGCGTGGGTGGTACTTGTATACTTGATGTGTTGAGGTATAGAGTGTCAGCAATATCTGCGTGTGTCAGGCATGGGTAGTACTTATATACTTGATGTGTGGAGGTATCCAGAGTCAGCAATATCTGTGTGTGTCAGGCGTGGGTGGTACTTGTATACTTGATGTGTGGAGGTATCCAGAGTCAGCAATATCTGTGTGTGTCAGGCATGGGTGGTACTTGTATACTGATGTGTGGAGGTATCCAGAGTCAGCAATATCTGTGTGTGTCAGGCGTGGGTGGTACTTGTATACTTGATGTGTGGAGGTATACAGAGTCAGCAATATCTGTGTGTGTCAGGCATGGGTGGTACTTGTATACTGATGTGTGGAGGTATCCAGAGTCAGCAATATCTGTGTGTGTCAGGCGTGGGTGGTACTTGTATACTTGATGTGTGGAGGTATCCAGAGTCAGCAATATCTGTGTGTGTCAGGCGTGGGTGGTACTTGTATACTTGATGTGTGGAGGTATACAGTGTCAGCAATATCTGTGTGTGTCAGGCGTGGGTGGTACTTGTATACTGATGTGTGGAGGTATCCAGAGTCAGCAATATCTGTGTGTGTCAGGTGTGGGTGGTACTTGTATACTTGATGTGTGGAGGTATCCAGAGTCAGCAATATCTGTGTGTGTCAGGCGTGGGTGGTACTTGTATACTTGATGTGTGGAGGTATACAGTGTCAGCAATATCTGTGTGTGTCAGGCGTGGGTGGTACTTGTATACTGATGTGTGGAGGTATCCAGAGTCAGCAATATCTGTGTGTGTCAGGTGTGGGTGGTACTTGTATACTTGATGTGTGGAGGTATCCAGAGTCAGCAATATCTGTGTGTGTCAGGCGTGGGTGGTACTTGTATACTTGATGTGTGGAGGTATCCAGAGTCAGCAATATCTGTGTGTGTCAGGCGTGGGTGGTACTTGTATACTTGATGTGTGGAGGTATCCAGAGTCAGCAATATCTGTGTGTGTCAGGCGTGGGTGGTACTTGTATACTTGATGTGTGGAGGTATCCAGAGTCAGCAATATCTGTGTGTGTCAGGCGTGGGTGGTACTTGTATACTTGATGTGTGGAGGTATCCAGAGTCAGCAATATCTGTGTGTGTCAGGCGTGGGTGGTACTTGTATACTTGATGTGTGGAGGTATCCAGAGTCAGCAATATCTGTGTGTGTCAGGCGTGGGTGGTACTTGTATACTTGATGTGTGGAGGTATACAGTGTCAGCAATATCTGTGTGTGTCAGGCGTGGGTGGTACTTGTATACTGATGTGTGGAGGTATCCAGAGTCAGCAATATCTGTGTGTGTCAGGTGTGGGTGGTACTTGTATACTTGATGTGTGGAGGTATCCAGAGTCAGCAATATCTGTGTGTGTCAGGCGTGGGTGGTACTTGTATACTTGATGTGTGGAGGTATCCAGAGTCAGCAATATCTGTGTGTGTCAGGCGTGGGTGGTACTTGTATACTTGATGTGTGGAGGTATACAGTGTCAGCAATATCTGTGTGTGTCAGGCGTGGGTGGTACTTGTATACTGATGTGTGGAGGTATCCAGAGTCAGCAATATCTGTGTGTGTCAGGTGTGGGTGGTACTTGTATACTTGATGTGTGGAGGTATCCAGAGTCAGCAATATCTGTGTGTGTCAGGCGTGGGTGGTACTTGTATACTTGATGTGTGGAGGTATACAGTGTCAGCAATATCTGTGTGTGTCAGGCGTGGGTGGTACTTGTATACTGATGTGTGGAGGTATCCAGAGTCAGCAATATCTGTGTGTGTCAGGTGTGGGTGGTACTTGTATACTTGATGTGTGGAGGTATCCAGAGTCAGCAATATCTGTGTGTGTCAGGCGTGGGTGGTACTTGTATACTTGATGTGTGGAGGTATCCAGAGTCAGCAATATCTGTGTGTGTCAGGCGTGGGTGGTACTTGTATACTTGATGTGTGGAGGTATCCAGAGTCAGCAATATCTGTGTGTGTCAGGCGTGGGTGGTACTTGTATACTTGATGTGTGGAGGTATACAGTGTCAGCAATATCTGTGTGTGTCAGGCGTGGGTGGTACTTGTATACTGATGTGTGGAGGTATCCAGAGTCAGCAATATCTGTGTGTGTCAGGTGTGGGTGGTACTTGTATACTTGATGTGTGGAGGTATCCAGAGTCAGCAATATCTGTGTGTGTCAGGCGTGGGTGGTACTTGTATACTTGATGTGTGGAGGTATCCAGAGTCAGCAATATCTGTGTGTGTCAGGCGTGGGTGGTACTTGTATACTTGATGTGTGGAGGTATCCAGAGTCAGCAATATCTGTGTGTGTCAGGCGTGGGTGGTACTTGTATACTTGATGTGTGGAGGTATCCAGAGTCAGCAATATCTGTGTGTGTCAGGCGTGGGTGGTACTTGTATACTTGATGTGTGGAGGTATCCAGAGTCAGCAATATCTGTGTGTGTCAGGCGTGGGTGGTACTTGTATACTTGATGTGTGGAGGTATACAGTGTCAGCAATATCTGTGTGTGTCAGGCGTGGGTGGTACTTGTATACTGATGTGTGGAGGTATCCAGAGTCAGCAATATCTGTGTGTGTCAGGTGTGGGTGGTACTTGTATACTTGATGTGTGGAGGTATCCAGAGTCAGCAATATCTGTGTGTGTCAGGCGTGGGTGGTACTTGTATACTTGATGTGTGGAGGTATCCAGAGTCAGCAATATCTGTGTGTGTCAGGCGTGGGTGGTACTTGTATACTTGATGTGTGGAGGTATCCAGAGTCAGCAATATCTGTGTGTGTCAGGCGTGGGTGGTACTTGTATACTTGATGTGTGGAGGTATCCAGAGTCAGCAATATCTGTGTGTGTCAGGCGTGGGTGGTACTTGTATACTTGATGTGTGGAGGTATACAGTGTCAGCAATATCTGTGTGTGTCAGGCGTGGGTGGTACTTGTATACTGATGTGTGGAGGTATCCAGAGTCAGCAATATCTGTGTGTGTCAGGTGTGGGTGGTACTTGTATACTTGATGTGTGGAGGTATCCAGAGTCAGCAATATCTGTGTGTGTCAGGCGTGGGTGGTACTTGTATACTTGATGTGTGGAGGTATACAGTGTCAGCAATATCTGTGTGTGTCAGGCGTGGGTGGTACTTGTATACTGATGTGTGGAGGTATCCAGAGTCAGCAATATCTGTGTGTGTCAGGTGTGGGTGGTACTTGTATACTTGATGTGTGGAGGTATCCAGAGTCAGCAATATCTGTGTGTGTCAGGCGTGGGTGGTACTTGTATACTTGATGTGTGGAGGTATCCAGAGTCAGCAATATCTGTGTGTGTCAGGCGTGGGTGGTACTTGTATACTTGATGTGTGGAGGTATCCAGAGTCAGCAATATCTGTGTGTGTCAGGCGTGGGTGGTACTTGTATACTTGATGTGTGGAGGTATACAGTGTCAGCAATATCTGTGTGTGTCAGGCGTGGGTGGTACTTGTATACTGATGTGTGGAGGTATCCAGAGTCAGCAATATCTGTGTGTGTCAGGTGTGGGTGGTACTTGTATACTTGATGTGTGGAGGTATCCAGAGTCAGCAATATCTGTGTGTGTCAGGCGTGGGTGGTACTTGTATACTTGATGTGTGGAGGTATCCAGAGTCAGCAATATCTGTGTGTGTCAGGCGTGGGTGGTACTTGTATACTTGATGTGTGGAGGTATACAGTGTCAGCAATATCTGTGTGTGTCAGGCGTGGGTGGTACTTGTATACTGATGTGTGGAGGTATCCAGAGTCAGCAATATCTGTGTGTGTCAGGTGTGGGTGGTACTTGTATACTTGATGTGTGGAGGTATCCAGAGTCAGCAATATCTGTGTGTGTCAGGCGTGGGTGGTACTTGTATACTTGATGTGTGGAGGTATACAGTGTCAGCAATATCTGTGTGTGTCAGGCGTGGGTGGTACTTGTATACTGATGTGTGGAGGTATCCAGAGTCAGCAATATCTGTGTGTGTCAGGTGTGGGTGGTACTTGTATACTTGATGTGTGGAGGTATCCAGAGTCAGCAATATCTGTGTGTGTCAGGCGTGGGTGGTACTTGTATACTTGATGTGTGGAGGTATCCAGAGTCAGCAATATCTGTGTGTGTCAGGCGTGGGTGGTACTTGTATACTTGATGTGTGGAGGTATCCAGAGTCAGCAATATCTGTGTGTGTCAGGCGTGGGTGGTACTTGTATACTTGATGTGTGGAGGTATACAGTGTCAGCAATATCTGTGTGTGTCAGGCGTGGGTGGTACTTGTATACTGATGTGTGGAGGTATCCAGAGTCAGCAATATCTGTGTGTGTCAGGTGTGGGTGGTACTTGTATACTTGATGTGTGGAGGTATCCAGAGTCAGCAATATCTGTGTGTGTCAGGCGTGGGTGGTACTTGTATACTTGATGTGTGGAGGTATCCAGAGTCAGCAATATCTGTGTGTGTCAGGCGTGGGTGGTACTTGTATACTTGATGTGTGGAGGTATACAGTGTCAGCAATATCTGTGTGTGTCAGGCGTGGGTGGTACTTGTATACTGATGTGTGGAGGTATCCAGAGTCAGCAATATCTGTGTGTGTCAGGTGTGGGTGGTACTTGTATACTTGATGTGTGGAGGTATCCAGAGTCAGCAATATCTGTGTGTGTCAGGCGTGGGTGGTACTTGTATACTTGATGTGTGGAGGTATACAGTGTCAGCAATATCTGTGTGTGTCAGGCGTGGGTGGTACTTGTATACTGATGTGTGGAGGTATCCAGAGTCAGCAATATCTGTGTGTGTCAGGTGTGGGTGGTACTTGTATACTTGATGTGTGGAGGTATCCAGAGTCAGCAATATCTGTGTGTGTCAGGCGTGGGTGGTACTTGTATACTTGATGTGTGGAGGTATCCAGAGTCAGCAATATCTGTGTGTGTCAGGCGTGGGTGGTACTTGTATACTTGATGTGTGGAGGTATACAGTGTCAGCAATATCTGTGTGTGTCAGGCGTGGGTGGTACTTGTATACTGATGTGTGGAGGTATCCAGAGTCAGCAATATCTGTGTGTGTCAGGTGTGGGTGGTACTTGTATACTTGATGTGTGGAGGTATCCAGAGTCAGCAATATCTGTGTGTGTCAGGCGTGGGTGGTACTTGTATACTTGATGTGTGGAGGTATACAGTGTCAGCAATATCTGTGTGTGTCAGGCGTGGGTGGTACTTGTATACTGATGTGTGGAGGTATCCAGAGTCAGCAATATCTGTGTGTGTCAGGTGTGGGTGGTACTTGTATACTTGATGTGTGGAGGTATCCAGAGTCAGCAATATCTGTGTGTGTCAGGCGTGGGTGGTACTTGTATACTTGATGTGTGGAGGTATCCAGAGTCAGCAATATCTGTGTGTGTCAGGCGTGGGTGGTACTTGTATACTTGATGTGTGGAGGTATACAGTGTCAGCAATATCTGTGTGTGTCAGGCGTGGGTGGTACTTGTATACTGATGTGTGGAGGTATCCAGAGTCAGCAATATCTGTGTGTGTCAGGTGTGGGTGGTACTTGTATACTTGATGTGTGGAGGTATCCAGAGTCAGCAATATCTGTGTGTGTCAGGCGTGGGTGGTACTTGTATACTTGATGTGTGGAGGTATACAGTGTCAGCAATATCTGTGTGTGTCAGGCGTGGGTGGTACTTGTATACTGATGTGTGGAGGTATCCAGAGTCAGCAATATCTGTGTGTGTCAGGTGTGGGTGGTACTTGTATACTTGATGTGTGGAGGTATCCAGAGTCAGCAATATCTGTGTGTGTCAGGCGTGGGTGGTACTTGTATACTTGATGTGTGGAGGTATCCAGAGTCAGCAATATCTGTGTGTGTCAGGCGTGGGTGGTACTTGTATACTTGATGTGTGGAGGTATACAGTGTCAGCAATATCTGTGTGTGTCAGGCGTGGGTGGTACTTGTATACTGATGTGTGGAGGTATCCAGAGTCAGCAATATCTGTGTGTGTCAGGTGTGGGTGGTACTTGTATACTTGATGTGTGGAGGTATCCAGAGTCAGCAATATCTGTGTGTGTCAGGCGTGGGTGGTACTTGTATACTTGATGTGTGGAGGTATACAGTGTCAGCAATGTTTTTGTGTGTCAGGTGTGGGTGGTACTTGAATACTGATGTGTGGAGGTATACAGCGCCACCAATGTTTGTGTGTCAGGCGTGGGTGGTACTTGTATACTTGATTGTGGAAGTATACAGTGTCAGCAATGTTTTTGTGTGTCAGGCGTGGGTGGTACTTGTATACTGATGTGTGGAGGTATACAGCGCCACCAATGTTTGTGTGTCAGGCCTGGGTGGTACTTGTATACTTGATGTGTGGAAGTATACAGTGTCAGCAATGTTTTTGTGTGTCAGGCGTGGGTGGTAGTTGTATACTGATGTGTGGAGCTATACAGAGTCACCAATATTTGTGTGTGTCAGGTGTGGGTGGTAGTTGTATACTGATGTGTGGAGGTATACAGAGTCACCAATATTTGAGTGTGTCAGGTGTGGGGGGTAGTTGTATACTGATGTGTGGAGGGATACAGAGTCACCAATATTCGTGTGTGTCAGGTATGGGTGGTACTTGTATACTGATGTGTGGAGGTGTACAGAGTCACCAATATTTGAGTGTGTCAGGTGTGGGTGGTAGTTGTATACTGATGTGTGGAGGTATACAGAGTCACCAATATTCGTGTGTGTCAGGTATGGGTGGTACTTGTATACTGATGTGTGGAGGTGTACAGAGTCAGCAATATCTGTGTGTGTCAGGCGTGGGTGGTAGTTGTATACTGATGTGTGGAGGTATACAGTGTCAGCAATGTTTTTGTGTGTCAGGCGTGGGTGGTAGTTGTATACTGATGTGTGGAGGGATACAGAGTCACCAATATTCGTGTGTGTCAGGTATGGGTGGTACTTGTATACTGATGGGTGGAGGTATACAGAGTCACCAATATTTGTGTGTGTCAGGCGTGGGTAGTACTTGTATACTGATGTGTGGAGGTATACAGAGTCACCAATATTTGTGTGTGTCAGGTGTGGGTAGTACTTGTATACTGATGTGTGGAGGTATACAGAGTCACCAATATTCGTGTGTGTCAGGGTGAATATATCAGGAAAGTGAATATCAGTTCACAGCATATTTAGGCATCGTAATACATTGAACGGGTGAAATTAACACCAGGTCAATATGGGTTGTACATTAGTAAAGGAGGAAAGTTTGACAAGGTGCAAGTTTCCTTCTATACAAGAGTCACCAAAGACAGCAGTTATCACCATTGGTTACACACAGTTACTAGGAAACTTGTCACAATTGGCTATTTAGGGATACAGTAGTCACCATTGGTTACCCACAGACACCCTTAGACTAGTCATCTTTGGTTACTTAGGGACACAGCATTCACCAACGGTACAATGGAATAGGTTGGTACATGTACATGTACAAGTGTGTAGTTATCTAGACACCAAGGGGTCACCTGTAGTTACAATTGAGACTTGAATCATGCCTGGTAATTGGTTACCAAAAATGGTTAAATATGAAGACCAAAAGGTTACCTTTAGAAACCACCAGTCGTTTAAAGTATCAAAGTTTCCTGTAAGGTTTAATGTTTTATACAATTGTATATGTATAACCATATTTTTATACAAGTACAAATTGCTCTAGAGTGTCCAAACATTTAATTCCTTGATTCTGACCTCAGATATACCTATAAATAGGATTGGGCAGGAGGAGAGCATTGCCACAATACAAAGACGACTTACAATATCAGAGGAGAAACCTTCAGTGGTTGTTGTATGTCGCCGTGGTAACGACTCACAAATCGCAGTGGAAACACTTCTCAAATGTTTTAAAGACTCGGATTTGGATATTAAAGACATCCGTGGTGGTCTTCATGCCTGGGCTAAACATATTGATACAAACTTTCCTGTTTACTGATCACTGTTTACAGTAAACAACTTGACCGGTGAGAATACCTGGTAGGATTTCTAGAAGAAGTACTAAAGAAAGTGGCACCTGTTCCATACACTTTTCATTCTTTTACTCATGGAGGATTTTGTATTCATACCATGTATATTAATATTCTCAAATAATTCCAATTTTATTGCATGGAACTAGATGCAATTCTGATCTCAATAGTCAGTAAGAATTTGAGCAGGTTCTCGAAGGATATCCTAGTGATAATAGTAACAGAATAAAGAATAAGATACACTTATTCAGAAACTATAAATCTGATAGTTCTAGAGTATACTTAATACATGTAGCTTTGTTGTTATATCATGATATTGATTATTATGGGGCATCATGTCTAGAATAAAAGCGTTTCATCATAATTTATCTTTCTTGTTTTGTGTTTATATAATTATTGTTATATAAAGTAAAATAAATTACCTGGTATTAGAAATTGAGTTGATACGTCCAGTAATTGATTTTCAGAGACAGATTACACCTATATTTATACAATATGGTCCTAATCAATTTTCACAGGATGTGTTTGATTTGAGCTATCCTTATGTGTAGGGAGTACAGAATTATTAGATATTTAAGTTGTTTGAGCAACACTGGTTAAGAATTGAAAAGTACATGAATATGCTGATTTGTCTGACATTAAATTTTGAACAACAAATTTTATTTCCACATCAACATTTGATAAAAAAAAACAGAGGGCATCAATTTGGCTTGAGTGTTGATCTAAACCCCCAATACATATTCATATTCCATACACATCAGGATTATGATCAGATCCAAGCATGCATCCTGTATAGCTGCCTCTCTAGTTATATAGCATTACCTTAGGTACCAGCAGTTTCATTACCAAGTAATAGAAATATCTCATCAAGAATTTTTTGTTAGCCCACAACATTTATTTTCTGGTATAAGTTATATGCGGTTCAGCAACACGTACTTCTCTCCAATTTTCTAGTTTTAATTATTATGTCAGTTAACTCAATTAATTCAATATTGCTGACTTTAATGATGATAGCTTAGGATGCATTTATTAGCAAGCCTAATTAGAATTTTTCTGAGTTGGAATAGAATTGATAATCATATGTCTGACCTTAAATGTTAATATTACCTGTTTATTATATTTCAATAGCCATTGACAGCAGCATACTTTTGACACTTCAAATAACCCAGCTTGTTCAATTAGCAAATGATGCCACAGAAGTACCATTAGGACTAACAAAAATGGAAAGACATGATTGACATGACTTAATCTAAAAGGAGAGAAGACGTCCGACGGTATTAAAATTCAAAAGAGACCCCACCCTATTTTCGTATGTAGTTAAATTTCAGTTAAGGCCTGTAATAACTAAGTTATTCAATCAAGATGTTTTATTCCACATGCAATGGTGTGTTTCAGATCCCCATCCTATGTCACTTAATTATTTCATATGTGAATGCGCCACGCCCCCTTCAGTGTTAGTGTTAAAAGTGTAGGCGTCTCTTAAAGGAAGCATTTGATTGGTCAATGACGTGAACTTTGCACCAGTCGTGGCCCTCGTTATACAGGCATTTGCTGCTTCCGTTGCACATGTAAACAGATGGCTACCGGTGGTGGAGGGTTGCTCTCGGTGGATTTTGAGGTTATCGGCAAAGTACAAGGTGAGACTGACTGCATGATTTTCACGAATTAATGTTCATTGATACGGTATAACAATGTATTAGAGTGAAGGACAGATGTACATAGCTAACAGCTGGTTTGTGTTGAAGCAGACATGAATTTCTGTCTTGCTTATGGGGACAGCGAGTTGAGGTGTACTCCAATACATTAATATTCCTAGGACTATCAGTGCAAAACGGAATTAGAAATGGATAATTTGGCGATAGTTTTGTATGTGTATATTTGCTTCATTGTATGCTGAGCGTCTGGTCTACTTACGGAATAATCACATAACAATTAAAAAATGGTCCAACATTTTTGTTTACATTTCACTCGCTTAGTTCACTATCGTCAAGGAGTTCAATGAGGTAGCACATGCCACTTCCTCCGGAAGACTATTCCACAGGTTTGCTGTTCTCACACTGAAGCTGTACTAATATTTATTTGTTTTAAAGTAATGTAAAATTGATTATATATGTCTCATAAAATAAAGTTAGCTTGACCAAAAACAATTCTTAAGATAAACATGTGGTCAATAGTCAAAGAGATATGTCATATTCCACTTGAAGAATAACTTTAAAACCCTTAAATAATTTTCACAAAAAGAGGTCAACAAAAAAAAATGAAAAAAAACCCACCAGATTAATATTAAGAAACAAATTGAATTAGTGTTAGTAAAGATACAAGAATTTTTATTTAACGTCGCATATTTAAAACAATAAAATATTAGCACTGTAGTGCTATTCTTGAGACAAACATGAAGTATAATAACAATCACATGCAGGTAATTACAAAAACTAGTTAAATGACAAACAAATATCCCAGAGGCAATTTTGAATTGTGTTCTCACTTCCTGTACTTAAATCCTAGAGTGCTGTGTCTACTCTGGAAAATGACAGCAATAGATGAAAATCACTTTGTATGCCTGAAACACTACTTAACCTATGTAAAAAAAACTCTTGGATTATTTTAAAATGACAAGGATTGACAAGATCTAGAATGGGGAAATTTGACCTGTAATAATACAGACCTTTGGCTTGCTTGGATGAAATGCCATCTTACCCAGATTCTTCCAAAAGACATGCACTCGTATTGTTCCAGGGATTAAGGCTTTAAATATTTTTCAATTTATGATCAAAGGATTCACTTTCAATTTCATAGTGATCAAATATTTTATAAATTTCAAATGAAATGTTAGAGAGTGTTGATCTGTGGCTTCCTGCAGTGAAGGTCTGACTGCTTTTTCATGTTCTTGTACCTTATGAATTTCAAGATAAACAGGTCTATGTGTTATAAACTTCAAACATTTTCTTTGAAAGAACAGTGCATATCAAACTCAAGTCATTTGGTATTGTAAAAGTATCTTGATCGGCTGAAAGTGATCAAGAATGTCCAAATGAATGACCTTGACCCACATTGAAGATCAATGTATTAAAAATTGCAAATAATATCTTTCACAGATCCTTATGGCATGAATTTGCTTGGATGAAGGGATACTAAAAATTCTTATTGATGTGTTAAAATCTTCAAATGATTTCTAACAAAGAACCATGAAACCTTGAGTCATGATATTTGATTGTTATGTAGATAATGGGTGAAGAGCTACGTGTTAGCAATTTGTTTAAATTATTGACTTTCAAACACCAGATTTAGGTAATTGTCAGGTGTCCTATATTTCAAATGTCATGTATACTGTGAATCTACAAAATAAACATGATAAATATTTGCTTATAAAAAATATATTCATACTTAATTATTAATAATTTTTACATGAATGATGAGTTGAGCACTATAGGCATTTTCGGCTTGTTTTTTTTGCAAAAGATTTTTAATAAGTTGTAAAATCTCATTTTAAAAGTTCAGGGCTTTAATTGCAACTTGGTAACATCTGACAAAGATCAATTGAATTTAATCCTTCAGAAATGGTTAAACTAAAGTTAGTTTCAGTGTTCCTATTTGAAGTCATCATTTTTGTGAATTAAAAGGAATTCCACTTTCTAGAGAATAATCTTTAGTGATGGAGATCTGTTTATCATGTCCTGTCATTTTCATTAATCTATTTTCTGTTGTGTGTATTTTTCCTTCTCTTGTAGAAACATTTAAACAGCAAATTAATTATGGTAGATCATAAGATGAACAAGTATATCAATTGCAACAAATAAGTTTAATTAGTTATATCATTGTCAATGTAAGGTGACATTTTATTAGGAGAAGTTTCATCACTGCTGAAGTGAATTGAAATTTTATTGATTTTGCTATAAATCTGTTACATTTATGCAAGATGATTAAGCATATTTTTTATACATATTTCATGTATGTTTGAAAAAGTTGCAAGCTATAAAAGCAGAGAAAGGCAAATTTATAAAAAGATCTGTTGTAATACAATTTGAGAATGTCAGGCTCTGATAGATGGTTTATTTCCTATCCACTAAAAAGTCTCTACACGAAGCAGATCAATACCTTGATGGACAAGATAGGGACAATCCCATTCACTACCACAACGTTAGCCACGGCTGGGCCACACATGTAGTTCAATTGACAAATCGTGAGATGTCTTCAGCTGATGGCTTCGTATATACGCAATAGAAAAAAATAAAAAGTAAAGCTAATGCCCACTATGTAAGTCTTGAAGAATCAGAATGACAGATTAAGTTGTGTTGTTACGAGAGATTTCATTTCCGTTTTTCTCCCTGTCCAATTAGACGTCTGGTATGTCAAGGATGCGTTGAAGAAACATAATAAGGTGATGACTGGTTGATCAGTCGCCCACACAGCTATAAAGGCCTTAGTGCTGTTGTACAATAACAAATGTGTAAAATGTTGTCATGGAGGCCATCTGTTAAAAAAGGATGGCAATAAAACCTACACTAGGATTAGATATATATCTTATCCTTATTGAATCAACCCTACTGAAACTAATGAAAATAATTACTACTGCATTCAGTTTGTACTTTTGACATTAAAACCTGTCTAAATAGAACACGTTTGGGCCACACATCAGTATATATATACTGTACAGTAAAACCTGTCTAAATAGAACATGTTTGTGCCACACATCAGTATATATAAATATATACTATACAGTAAAACCTGTCTAAATAGAACACCTTTGGGCCACACATCAGTATATATATTTGTATATTGTGCAGTAAAACCTGTCTAAATAGAACACCATTGAGCCACACATCAGTATATATATATATATATATATACTGTACAGTAGTACCTGTCTAAATAGAACACCTTTGGGCCACACATCAGTATATATATATTTATATATTGTGCAGTAAAACCTGTCTAAATAGAACACCTTTGGGCCACACATCAGTATATATATATTTATATATTGTGCAGTAAAACCTGTCTAAATAGAACACCATTGAGCCACACATCAGTATATATATATATACTGTACAGTAAAACCTGTCTAAATAGAACACAACTGGGCCACACATCAGTATATATATGTTTATTGTACAGTAAAACCCGTCTAAATAGAACACGTTTGGGCCACACATCAGTATATATATGTTTATTGTACAGTAAAACCTGTCTAAATAGAACACATTCGGGCCACACATCAGTATATATATGTTTATTGTACAGAAAAACCTGTCTAAATAGAACACCTTTGGGCCACACATCAGTATATATATATATATATATATATATATATTGTACAATAGTACCTGTCTAAATAGAACACAACTGGGCCACACATCAGTATATATATGTTTATTGTACAGAAAAACCTGTCTAAATAGAACACCTTTGGGCCACACATCAGTATGTATATACTGTACAGTAAAACCTATCTAAATAGAACACCTTTGGGCCACACATCAGTATATTTATACTGTACAGTAAAACCTGTCTAAATAGAACACATTTGGGCCACACATCAGTATATATATGTTTATTGTACAGTAAAACCTGTCTAAATAGAACACATTTGGGCCACATATCAGTATATATATGTTTATTGTACAGTAAAACCTGTCTAAATAGAACACCTTTGGGCCACACATCAGCATATATATATATATTGTGCAGTAAAACTTGTCGAAATAGAACACCATTGGGCCACACATCAGTATATATATATATATATATATATATATATATTGTACAATAGTACCTGTCTAAATAGAACACAACTGGGCCACACATCAGTATATATATACTGTACAGTAAAACCTGTCTAAATAGACCACCTTTGGGCCACACATCAGTATATATATACTGTACAGAGAAACCTGTCTAAATAGAACACCTTTGGGCCACACATCAGTATATATTTACTGTACAGTAAAACACACCTTTAGGCCACACATCAGTATATATATACTGTACAGTAAAACCTATCTAAATAGAACACCTTTGGGCCACACATCAGTATATATATACTGTACAGTAAAACCTGTCTAAATAGAACACCATTTATATATGTTGTACAGTTGACCATTTCTCCAGACAAACGTTGATGTATATTAAGGATGAAATGACAATAAATTTGAATGTTGATATAGCAATTTTCAGCTGACCATTAACAGTGTCTGGAGAGTGTATAAGTCCCTGTCTAGTTTTCCTTCTGTCACATTTTAAAATATAACTTATCTGTATTCTTTTTATTTCAGGTGTTTTCTTTCGCAAGGTAAGCTTTCTACAATTGTAATTTTTTTAGCTCACCTGGTCCGAAGGACCATGGTGAGCTTATGCCATACCGTAGCGTCCGTCGTCCGTCCGTCAACTTTTCCTTTAAAACGCTACTAGTCATGAACGACTGAGCAGATTTTGACCAAATTTGGTCAGAAGCATCCTTGTGGGAAGGGGAACAAATTTGGTATAAATTATGGGTGTGGCCCCCCTTGGGGCTGAGGGGCGGGGCCCAATAGGGGAAATATAGCAAATTCTTTAAAATCCTTCTTCTTCTGTAGGAATGAAAAGATTTGTTCCATATTTGGTTTGAAGCATCCTTGGGTAAAGGGGGAACAATTTTGTATAAACCGTGGGTCTGCCCCTCAGGGGCCTAAGGGGTGGGGCAAAATAGAGGAAACATAGCAAATTCTTTAAAATCCTTCTTCTTCTGTAGGAATGAAAGGATTTGTTCCATATTTGGTCTGAAGCATCCTTTGGTGAAGGGGAACCAATTTTGTATAAACTGTGTGTCTGGCCTCCAAGGGGCCTGAGGGTCGGGGCAAAATAGGGGAAACAGCAAATTCTTTAAAATCCTTTTTATTCAGTAGGAATGAAAGGATTTGGTCCATATTTGGTCAGAAGGTTTCTTGGGTGAAGGGGAACCAATTTTGTATAAACCATGGGTCTGGCCTCCCAGGGGCCTGAGGGGCGGGGCACATAGGGGGAACATAGCAAATTCTTTAAAATCCTTCTTATTCTGTAGGAATGAAAGGATTTGGTCCATATTTGGTCAGAAGGTTTCTTGGGTGAAGGGTAACCAATTTTGTATAAACCGTGGGTCTGGCATCCCAGGGGCCTGAGGGGCAGGGCAAAATAGGGGAAACAAAGCAAAATATTCTTTAAAATCCTTCTTCTTCTGAAGGAATGAAAGGATTTGGTCAGAAGGTTTCTTGGGTGAAGGGGACCCAATTTTGTATAAACCATGGGTCTGGCCTCCCAGGGGCCTGAGGGGCGGGCCACATAGGGGGAACATAGCAAATTCTTTAAAATCCTTCTTATTCTGTAGGAATGAAAGGATTTGGGCCATATTTGGTCAAAAGGTTTCTTGGGTGAAGGGGAACCAATTTTGTATAAACCATGGGTCTGGCCTCCCAGGGGCCTGAGGGGCGGGCCACATAGGGGGAACATAGCAAATTCTTTAAAATCCTTCTTATTCTGTAGGAATGAAAGGATTTGGTCCATATTTGGTCAGAAGGTTTCTTGGGTGAAGGGTAACCAATTTTGTATAAACCGTGGGTCTGGCCTCCCAGGGGCCTGAGGGGCGGGGCACATAGGGGGAACATAGCAAATTCTTTAAAATCCTTCTTATTCTGTAGGAATGAAAGGATTTGGGCCATATTTGGTCAAAAGGTTTCTTGGGTGAAGGGGAACCAATTGTGTATAAACCGTGGGTCTGGCCCCCTAGGGGCCTGAGGGGCAGGGCCCATTAGGGGAAATATAGGTAAAACCTTTATAACCCTTCTTCTACCATAGGGATTAAGGGATATTATCCTAATTTAGTTTGGAGCATCCTTAGGCAAAAGGGACTCAATTTGTTTAAAACAGCGAGTGTGGCCCCCCTGGGGGCAGAAGGGAGGGGCCCAATAAGGGAAACAGTAAATTCCTTAAAATCCTTCTTCTTCTGTAGGATTTTTTTTTCAAAATTTGGTATGAAGCACTCTGGAATTGGGTGAAGGGGAACACATTTTGTATAAAGGGTGTGTCTGACCCCCCTGGAGGCAGAGAGGTGGGGCCTAATAGGGGAAATAGAGGTAAATCTTTAAAATCCTTCTTCTACCATAGGGATTAAGGGATTTTATCCTAATTTAGTCTGGAGCATCCTTGGGCCAAGGGAACTCAATTTTGTATAAACAGTGGGTATGGTCTCCCAGGGGGCAGAAGGGCAGGTCCCAATAGGAGAAATAGAGGTAAAATCTTTAAAATCCTTCTCCAACCATCAGGATTAAGGGATTTTATCCTTATTTAGTCTGGAGTATCCTTGGGTCAAGGGGACTCAATTTTATATAATTGTTGGATATGCCCCCCCCCCCCAGGGGCAGAGGGATGGGGCTCTGTTTGAAGTTTGTTCTCACTCTATCTCAAGCGCTGGATGGATCTTTCTAAAATTTCATGTACTTACAGCACCTACCATGGAGTGCTATATCTTTACTTCATACCAATTATTTTTAACATATTCAGGTGAGCGATACAGGCCCTCTGGGTCTCTTGTTTATTAACAGTAAGAGAAATAAAACAAATGTGAAAATACAGTGGGAATTATCACATGTAAAATGAATTAGAACATCCGTCATACTCAGATTATTCTGACATCAATAATTGATCACTGGAGGTTCATTTCCAATGTTTGTTTACTGTAATCATTTAAATACTTTATTTACCTGCCAAAGGGTTTTTTGGTTTAGTCAACTAGTACAAATATTCTTACCAAGAGGATAAAAAAACAGCTAGTTGTCCAGACCCCCTTCAGATTAATGTCATATCTTACCTGGTTTCAATAACATAGTAAAAAGATATTGTGAATAGTGTCTTCAAAATATTGATGATATACCATTCTGCCTCTGTTTGTTCAGAGAAATGTTGGCATTATACAGGGTTTGGCAATATATTGAGTACCAGGTAAGAGAGTTTGCAAATAAAATGGTTCTGCGGTTGACAAAGAAATAAAAACAGTCTGGAGTGTTGTTATGATGGGATAGACACATAATCGACTGAGAGAGGTCCAAACAAAGATAAATGCAATGACAGATACACGGCTCCATATTTATTTCATATAAGAATTAAGCCGTTTAACTGTGAGTGGAGTTCCACCAGGAATGTAAAGTGTCCCCGAGATGTCTGCCTGGTAATTGACTTTGTTCTGCAAGAATCCAGTAAGGCGATATTTGGCCTGGCATATTGCTATATCAGCGTAATTATCTCCATTGATGCCCACACTGTGACGTAAGAGTGTAACTCCAGCAGTCGTCAGCTACAAATGTCACCATCTTTCTGCCAGCAGGCCATTTTCTTAATGAATATGAAGGATTCACACAAGATACAAGAATTTTTATTTAGAGTCGTGTTTGTAACAATGCAACTTTAGCTCAGAAGAGCTATTCTTACGACTATTCAATTGGATTTAGGACATTGCCCAAATATAGAAGGCCTGTACTGAATAGTTCATATGTTTTCCAAATCATAATTGTATTGTAGACATCTTACTAATGTTAGATTGAGGAGTGTGTAAATATAGAACTAATAAATCAATTTTGTATTACACTGTTGGCATGAATCTGATGGTAGAAGAATTGTCTGCTTAAATGAAAATTAATAAATAGATAAATAAAAAAGGTAAATTTTATGTACTTTTTTGTTCTCTTTTTTTTTGTGTCATATTTTTCTGGTTTTGTAGTGCAGTTTTTTTTTTATTCCAATACAGTTTCTATTTTAACTGTAATCTCAACTTTTACCAAAAAAAGTTCTCCTACTATCAAGGTCACAGGGGTCAAAAGTATCAAATACTTGCAACGACTTCTTCTGAAGAACTGAAAGGTATAGAATCTAAATATGTGCCTAGTAGCTTCTTTAGATAGAGCCCAACACAGTTTGAGAATAAAAATGACCTCAACCTACTTTCAAGGTCACAGGGGCCAAATTTATCAAACACTCCAAATGACTTCTGAATAATTTAAAGGCATAGAATTGTAATATTTGACTGGTGACTGTCACAGATGTAGCCTAACAAATTTTGCTATTGAAAATTACCTCAACCTACTTTTAAGATCACAGTGGTCAAATATGTCAAACACATTAAACAACTTCTGTGAAGAACTGAAACTATCAGAAAGGTATAGAATCTTAATATTTGGCTGGTAGCTTTTTTTGGATAGTTCCTGATAAAGTTTGAGAATGAAAATGACCTTGACCTACTATCAAAGTCACAGGGGTCAAATATGTCAAACTTATCAAACAAATTTTTCTGAATAATTGGAATGCATAGAATCATATTATTTGGATGGTTGCTTCTTGGAAATGAGCCCAACATTGTCCCCTACCGGTGAAACCGGGGCACTATAGTTCTCCTCTCCGTCTGTCTATGTACGTACGTAACACCAATGTTTGTCAACGCTCTAGCGGCTTCATTCCTTGAGGGATTTTTATCAAACTTCACAGAAATATGAAAGACCATAATATCTCGGACTAATTCGAATTTCTAGGTTGTCGGTTCAAGGTCAAAGTCACCGTTACTATTTTTAGAAAATCCTTCTCAGTGGTCTAGCGACTTTATTCCTTGAGGAATTTTTATCAAACTTCACACCATTACAAAGGGCAACAATATCTCGGACAAGTTTGAGTTACAGGGTTGACAGGTCAAGGTAAAGGTCACCGTGACTATTTTTAGAAAATCCTTGTCAGCACTGTAGCGGCTTCATTCCTCGAGGGATTTGGATCAAACTTCACACAATTACAAAGGACCATAATATCTCGGACAAATTTGAGTTACAAAATCAGTTACAATCTAATTGTATACTTTTCATTTTCACAAATTAACACCAAAGGGCACTATTTTTATAAATCTTTACAGTGAAATAGCTAGCGGGGGCTGGTAGGGGACATGTATTGCTTTAGCAATACTCTGTATGAGTCTAAAAATTGGGTATTCATGAAAATTCCAGGACAAACAATTGTTGATACAGTACTTATTCTGTTAACATAGTTTCATTAGACAAATTACCCTCTTTTTTGTGTGTAAAGTTTTACAATATAGGATAGGGAAGGTGGTTCAGAAAATCTTTTAAAGATAAAAAGTGAAATAAGATTTTTAGTATTCTCCTTAATGTTGCCATGTGATACCATTATGCATATGTTTTAAAGATTATTAAATGTGTTTGTTGCAGTATACACAGAAAAATGCATCACAGCGGGGACTGGTAGGCTGGGTTCAGAACACAGAACGAGGCTCTGTCACAGGCAAAATGCAGGGCCCAGAAAAAGAGGTCAAGGACATGTGAGTCGTCAAGGTCATAGATCAATGTTAAAGTAAATCATATGATCATGTAAGCAATGTTTCATGAAAAAGAAATCTGGTTTTTATTTGCTCACATGATTGCTCTTGTGATTTATTATCACTGAACCAATTTCAATAAAACGTCCAGGAAAGTTTCATAGTTCAAGGAAAACAAACTTTTGAATTATATGGATCTAACCCCAGTGGTGGTGGTGGTGGTGGTGTGTGTGTGGGGGGGGTGGGGG